AGTGGAAAACAATTTTCTATGTAACTTGTTTGCAAAGACCAAATAAAATATCTTGTATCGTGTATCACTATGAACATGACTGACAATGAGAGCGGACAAAATATACAGTTCCTCAGGTAGACAAAGGAACATCCCTTACTGCTATTATGTAAAAATGTGTAGAACAGGTGTCACATGCATATTCACCTTTTTACATAATAGCTGTGAAGGGATGTTCCTTTGTCTACCTGAGGAACTGTATATTTTGTCCGCTCTCATTGTCAGTCATGTTCATAGTGTATCTTGTATCTTGAAAGACATTTGCATGCACCAATTGTTCGGAACACAAAATCTACCCCAATATCATGATTGATAAGCAATCTATCGAAGAGCAATTTTCAAAATGTAAGATAACTGAAATGTACTACTTCTACTCCCTAAACAGATATGAGTAAATCTACCCAGTCATTAATTGCAATAAAACGACTGAATAGTATACACGACGGCAAAGACTGTCGAGAAATGCGAGCTAATGGCCATTTCAGTTTCCTCTTCATGTTCGGATTATGTTATAAATTATATTATTGATAATCGTAGATTTCAACAGGGGATAAACAAGGCCAATGAAATTGCCTTAGTTTGATTTTCAGATTTAGTTTAGATGTTGCGACTGTGATAAGCATACTATTTTCACCAATCAAAATAAATGTGAACGGAGAGTGAGAGGGAGAGAGAGAGAGATAGAGAGAGAATGAATGGACGACACAAGTCCTAAAACCTCGGTCACAAATGCCATTACGAACTGCTACGAACGCCGTACGAACAACTGAATTGTAAAATCAACAAATAATAGAGCCGAGAAGTAACATATCAATGTATCTTTGAACGATATTCATCAAATGGTTAGAGCCTTTGAAATGTTGATCCAGTCAAATCTATTTTGTCCTATATAAGTTACTGACCACATCAGACAACACGTCCAATTTAATGATATTTTTTTAAAACATCATTTGATATTCAAAATTCCATGATAAAATTTAACAATACTTGATAACGTGTCGGACATGACATGAAACGATGAATAGACCATGCTCATTAAAGGTAAAGACCAGTTATGGTCAAGCGATTGCATTGTGAAAGAAACGTTGTGGAATCGATCAGGAAAGGTTGATCATCTAGCATCTAGCATCTGCAAGGTTCTGGAATCATCAAAATGATAAGAAATTTGGCCCATTCTTCGTAAAGTTATAAGCACTATACACAGAAAGATGTATATGGGACTACCCTATATCTCTCACAAACCATGAGAGAAACAAATTTACCAAATATATGAATTAGTAGGCGGTTTCCCGGCAAATTTGTTATCATCATGTATTAGTCAAAACATATTCTTTTACATGATTGGTTATGAGAGCTTCCATTTCATTTTTTGAAATTGGGGCGTTTCCAATACTGGTCTTTACCTTTAACGTCCATCTCTAATAATGAATTAACCTGTTGATACTTTGCGAATCCATATGTTCATCAAGCTTGTATCTGCCCGTAATGCGTATAAGTAGACAAATTATACCCGCATATTTCTCCGTCTGAAGTGTGCTCTTCGATGATAGCTTGAGCACGTCCAGTGGTAGGCAATTCATCATAATCTCACAATGTGTATTAACATAATCTTTGTTGGTTTATGGAAGCACGATGGAACAATCTACCACTGGAAATTCGGGATTCGGAAAAGACACCTCTTCTCAATTCAATTTGATATTTTTTGTAAACATTGTTTATAGAGTAGCTACTAAATAATGACGTTATTGCCTTGATTTTACAAAGTTTTGTTTTGGGGGGCCATTGTGCCTATTGTATTTCGCACTAGTCTGAACTAGTGTTGTTATACTTACAGTAATAAACAAAATTACAATTTCTTAATTGTTTGCTTATCCTTTGTATGTATGGTATATTTTCCCACTCATTCGAATGCAATATATCTCAAAAAACATCTCTCTATATTGGCAATTATGATAAATTACAGTCGTGAGAAAAAAAATCTTGTCGAGTTTCTTTAAAGACCATTATACAGCCCTTCACTCGTGTGTTTAAGGTCATATATAAAAAAATAATTCTTTACACCTAAGTGCGTCGTTCTGAAGATTGTACGATTTCTTGTTTAAGTTTTTTTTTGTATAGAAATTTGAAACTGTGACGTATGTCCTTAAGTGTTCCCGATCTATTAGTTCAAGTGCATATCGTGTTATTAGGATTATAGTAGGTATGTGTATTAGCTTATCTATGGATAATAAAAACATCTTACAATAAAAGCCGAAGGTTTTTCTTTCATATATAAAGCATCGCAAATAATAGGTTATCATGATGGAAAAGGTCAGTACAATAACTAATCCGAATTGCGGTTACAGAATTATAACCCTCATTTCATGATACAGTTTTTTAGAGTCATATTACAAACAGAAGCATAGAAAAGAAGATAAACACTGTTTCCTTAAAAGTTTGAATATTGACTTTTTATTTGATTGTGACAGTAGATAGATAATTGATAAATAAAGTTTATATCTTCTCAAAACTTTCTCTATCAAGTATAAACCATAATGAACAGAGGTCAAAGAAAATCTATTCCAACTTTGGATAGCAATGTATTTGTTAGAGAATGATAATGTATCATTCCATCATGTAAACAGTACTCTACTACATTGTACCTATTATATGTGTATTAAGGAAAGATGTTTTGAATTGTGGGCTGTCAGAAAAAAATAGGCTAGCCCCCTTTATTGTTTAAAAAGAGGTGTATCCAGTACACAAGTTCACGAGACAGTTCAATTTTCAAAAGGGCTGTGTGTTAAGAGTGAGAAATGAAAAATGAAAACAGAAAAAGAGGTGTTAACACTGACTGCATTCACACTTGTGTCTTGACTAGTTCATACAAATTCCTATAACCTGCTGAAAAATACGGAGGGGTGTTTTCCATTTCCTTTTCCCTTTATAAGGTCTGTAACTCAGACAATCCAAAAACTATTTTCAATGCTCACAATGGTTATGAAGTTTCTTGTGCTGCTTATAATAAAACTTCTCATTAAAATCCTATTGGGACCAACGCCTAATTTTCATGTTCATAGAACTGATCCGCACATTCAATAACCCCTCATTTAGCACATTAGGACAATTTCCCAATGTATATATTTGATTTGATATCATATTTTGTTTAAAAATATCAATGTCATCCCTGGTTAACGGGTCGACGAGAAACCATCTAATCATGATGAATCTAATAACTGGCGTGCGACCATCAGTTCATGAAGGTGGGACTTAATACGTATGCCTCTTCCTCCGATAATAACGGCACAAAAGAAAGAAAAAATCAATCAGTCAAGATTAGGGCTTCCCACGTATATTCCGCCCTCTCTTTCTGAGAATAATCCATCCAAAAACAACGATTTTATGTTCATGCCTTCCTTATGCATGCATGTTTCATGCTTTATTTGATGTAAATAGTAAAAGTTCATTTGTATTATTTAGATGTGAATGTAAAATCATATACTATATAATAATATTAACATGCAGATTATTTTATGTATTGATTTTGTTATTGTTATTTTTGTTATTGTTTGTGAAAAGCAATGGAGAAAATAAAATATCATTGAAAAAAAAAAAAAGATACCTGGGCAGCGTTTCATGAAACCGTCATAAGTACAAGTTCACCGACATCACATTGAAACGCGTGTTAAATTCAGCAATGGATGATGATTATGATTCTGTCATGAATATATTACATGACATTAACCGTAACATACAGATTGCCCGTAGAAGTAATTATGTTTATTGGTAATCACGATCAGATTTATTTTTGTCAAAAGTGGTAATGATATTTTGAAAACTGAATTGATTAATTCAATCGGCGCAATGGTGATAAAGTACAAAGCAATACTTTAAAAAAAAAAACCTGAATCATGAAGGCGAGGCCACTTGTGAAAAGGAAATTGGTCTGGATGCTTTTGTTCAGTCAACTAAAGGCAGTCCTATATTTAAAACTGGATACCACTTGAAACGTCATGCCACTAGATGGCGCGGTTTACAAAACAAGCGGTTGCTAATTTAGCAACCCTGATGTATCAATCCACCAAGTGATAGACGTTAGATGAAATCATCTTCCAGAGTCTAGACAAATAGTAATGGGCCATCAAAGGCATCATTATGACATAGTAGGTCCTCTAAAGTCTGAACTAAACAGATGACATTTTTGTTTCTTTCTCAAATGAAATTAGCTGACTCAACATGCTCAATATAATATACGTAAGTTACTTGTGTATTACTTACTGTTCTAGACAGTCACCAAGGTCATTCGCTACATCTAATTCTCACGACGCACTCGTTTCATTGTTCGGTCAGAGTTTTCTTTCAAGAAAGTGACGGAGTAACGTATTAAACGTGAGGACATACTCTATGGTTTCATTGGCCGCTGATCATGCGAGCGAGAGAGAGAGAGACAGAGAGACAGAGAGAGGGGGTTCTTTTCTTTTAATGGGGGGGGGGGGATTATCAGTGGTATAATTAATCTCATTTTATGATTTCAAGTTTGAAAAATTAATGTTAAATACAACTAATGAAAGGCTTTACGAATTAAATAACATTTCAGCATGATAACATAAACACAACATATTAAGTTTTGTTTTTAATGTGTATACAATAAAATAATAATAAATGATGACATTAAAACAAAATTTTAATGACAACAAATTGATATTCAGAAAATCACACCAAACTGCAAATGATTGATTTTTAAGAATTATCTTTGACAATGCGAAGAGAGAAAAATGTTGAAATCATTCCTGATAATATAACCACAGGGGTATAAACCAATGTATACAATGGTATATTTTCGCTTTGAGGTTTCCCTTTGAGGTGCCTTCCTTTTCTTTTCTTTTCTTTTTCTTCCCCAGATGGCCCAGAAAGTGCAATTTTGTGTTGGTGCCCCCCCCCCCTTAGGAAGACGCTCCGCCGCCCCCTGATCATCAATACAACAAATGACGATATTACCAGATCAGTAGCCGTCATTCCCTTTGAAGGTAGGCGATACGTCATAGAGGAAAGTACGTACCACTCACAATCAATCCTCCTATTGGTTTTTAGCTCGTATGTGGGAAAGAGGCATAAACGAAAGCATTAAACGACATCCGAACAATGTCTGTCTTGGGGTTAATCGATAAAGCATTTTGTATTGTAAACAAGGCATTCCTTACGTCTGCGCTCCGTTGCTTCATTTAAAAAGAAGTACCATAAAATTACACAACCCTTTATTGACTTCGTTATTGCGCGGAGGATAATCTGGTGTGAGGTCGAGCTCTGTTTGTGTGTTGGCAACCTAACGGGACTTTCTTCGATATCACTTTCACTGTGTTGATTGGAATGAGGATTATCTCTTGTAAACACAAGTTCCATGGATTATAAATATCTGATCATACGAGGAGAAAGTAGTGAAAACACAGAATATGTGGTGAATAATGCAGGGCATCACAAGTAGCAATTGTTTGAAAAACTCGTCAATGTTAGATTAAACAAAGAGGAGGAGGTCTGATACTGCTTATATGCCTATACGTCGTTTGTATTTGATCTCGCCGTCTATTCACCACAATAACACCATACTTTATGAAGACTCAGTACAAAAGTACACCTTTCAATTGATGTAAAGATACTTAAAAGGAAATCACGGTTATTAAAGATGACGACTACTGAAAAAAACAACAAAGACATGGAAGCTGTCGCGGAGGTTGAGGCACCCGAAACCATCCCCGTACGATGGGCGACACTAGAACCGAGGAAGATCCTACGAAAGCAAACAACGCGGTTGACCATCATCGACGAACCAACCGCCATCGTGACTTTAGACGACGACGACGAGTCAACGACACCAGCGTCCGAATCGAAGACGCTATGTCATCGCTTCAACAATATGTGCAGCGGTTCCTGGACAGAGCTGGACAGAGTTCAGAAGAGATTCCTCTTCCAAGGGGTGATGGTTAGGGCTATTCTCATGGCTCATAGTTTCTTTATCTTCTATGCGGCATTAGTCTATGTCCATGTGACAGCTTACATCTGCATTTGCCTTTGTTACGCAGCTCTGTCATTTGCTGAAGGAATCATCATGTACAAAATACGTGGGTTCTCACAAAAGAAATGGTAACCACTTTTCTAAACTACTCCAATTTGTTTATGTTTTTGATAATGTATAAAGAAAACAAATGAATATTTTATTCAAATTCATGTACTAGCTTTAATTATATTCCACATTCCATATCAAGTCTAATATTGTTAGGGTAATTTCCAAATGATATGGTTGAATTTCTAATAAATTATTTTCTAAAGAGTTAATTATAAACACTGTTGAGTGTACCCGTAAAGTGATGATCAAACGATGGGGAGTTTCTGTACTTTGGTATAAATTTTTATTTCAAAATCCATCTCATTTAGACTGAAATAACGGTAAACTTTTAAACGTTTTATCCATTAGTTTACAAAAAAATAATATGCCCTAAACAGAACTCGTAAAATCCAGTTGATTATTGGTATGAGTCTTTCACCAGTATCAATGCATAATGAACATTCTGTTAGGTTGACCTTATCAATTCTATCTATAACATATCTTTGGTACATCATCACCGCAGGATCTGCACATCAACCCTCCTCTACACGGTGAGTGTGATACCGGCCATCTGGGCGATCCATATCTCGATGCTTCACGTGAGGGAGAGGGATGGCTACGAAACGTGTCTGCAGAATTACAGCTCCTGCCACAGCCACCCAGCCTACGACCAAGTAATGCACACTGTCACGACGGTATGTTTCAATCAGATTCACGGAAACATTACAACATTGATTAGGAAGAAAACAAGACGAACACAGTTGCAATGATTTTCGAGAAATCACCTCAAAGGCAATTTTAATACCCTATTTCCCCTATCACAGCCACCCAGCCTACAACCAAATAAGTTATATAATTTCACGGCGGTAGGTTCGATTTTGTTGTCATCAAACAAAACTTTACCCTCCCCCCGCCCCAAACCCCCTCCCTCCAAAAAAACAAGATCAAAAAGACTTTCGAGAAATCAACTCGACACTCAAAGAAGATACGATCAAAATACTTTCAGGAAATGTATAAGTCGAGGGCAGTTTCAGTACCCTACTGTATTCAGTGCGTCCCAGAAAAAACGAAACCGAAAATTATCGATGTTTTATCATAACTTAATCACTATTAAAATTAATAATTGACAAAGCTTAGATCCTCCTCTTCGTTTGATGCAACTCATATGATGCATATCTCACGCATGAGTGATTAAAAATAATTTGAAGAGAGGCAACCAAAAAGTAATTTGGCGGACGGTATCTGAATTTCAAAGAGCAAATCACATTTTTAGAAATTTCATTTTCGGCACTTTCATATGACACCTCAATCAGCAAAAATGAGCTAGGAATAACAAAGTTCTGGTTGTTTAACGTGATGCTTGCATTTCAATAATTTGATTAACAAACACACAGTTGATAAAATTATCTTCGTTTTGTTGACGATCAGCCATGCATGAAGTCATTCATCTTTTTTGTGCATGGCTGATCGTCAACGAAACGGAGTTAAGACTTTTGTCTTCTCTGTTTGTTGCTACGGCAGGCAGCCAGTGAAAGCGAATTTGTTTAATTAAATCATGGAAATGCAAGCATTACTTTAAAGCTTATCTGCCGTAGTTTACAGGAGGGATTAGAGCGTCCTGCAAGGTCACTGGACAGGTGGTTATCTCATCAACTCAGCTCTCAGTTAACATAAGAAAAAGAGGATCATGGGGGACCAATGGTCACCGATTAGGCATTGTTTATTACAAAGAGGGCGCAAGTAGCTACAAGTAGTGCAGTGGGCCTTTAAACAACCAGAACTCTGTTATTCCGAGCTCATGTTTGCTGATTGAGGTGTCATATGAAAGGGCTGAAAATAATGTTTCTAGAAATGTGATTTTCCCTTTGAAATTCAGATACCGTCTACCAAATAACTTTTTGGTTGTCTCTCTTGAAATTGATTTTAATCACTCATGCGTGAAATATGCATCATATGAGTTGCATGACATTAAAGAGGAATATCTAAGCTTTACAAATATGTGTCATTTATTAATTATAATTTTGATTAAGTTATGATAAAACATCGATGATTCTCGGTTTCGTTTTTTCTGAGACGCACTGTATATCATCCTCAAACTACAGAGTAAGTTGGGAAACATTTCAGGATTGAAGAAGGCAGATGAACACAAAAGAAAAACAAAAGAAGACGAAAAAGAAACAACTTTCGGGCTATGTAATTAGCCATTGCTATGTTCGCATATTACAGCGGGTAAAGGAGAATTATATTAAATAGCCTTAGGTTAACTTTAAAAGTCATCGCGATTTTTCTCACTGAAATCTTACAAAAATGTGACGAGGAATAGCTTGCTCTCACTGAAATCTTACAAAAATGTGACGAGGAATAGCTTGCTCTCACTGAAATCTTACAAAAATGTGACGAGAAATAGCTTGCTCTCACTGAAACCTCACAAAAATGTGACGAGGAATAGGTTGCTCTCACTGAAACCTCACAAAAAACTATGGCAAGGAATTATTAGTGATACTAAAGACATATAGAGCACGGCTTCATTACAACAACAAAACGGTCGTCACCCAGTTTTAAAAAAATTCATGCAGTACACATCACATTGCACAAGCATCATATCCAAGAACAGATGTGGAGGAAGAAAGAATAATTAACTTGTCCAAAAATATTGACATTACTAGAAATATATGAGATGCAGTCTATGCCACCTTTTTTGAAAACTGACACTAATTCTTCCAAATTTAGGATATCGATCAATTATCTCTATACCATCTATAAGGAAACAGCACCAGCACCACCGCCAACAACAAAAAGAAGTACTTCGTACTATTAAATCTTTATGTCTTTAATGAGTTGGTGAGAGAATTAACGTGTAAACAACAGTTAGTTTGTAAGAGCACTATAGAAATGACTTTATTGTATTGTATTGTAAACAATCTAGAAAGTCACCTAATTGAATGAAACCATGCTTAAAATCTCGTCCATATTTGACATCCTCAGAGATCGTTTGTAGCCACGACCTACAGCGATTACGAGCGCCTTACCAATGTGGTACAATACACCGTCGTCTTCGTTCTCATCTTCTGTCGCTGGCTCCTCCCCAGAGACAACTTCACTCGCGAGAAGGTAGCCCAACTTCTCCTGGTCCTGGTCGGGTCGGGCGAGGACATCGTCGAGTTCGTCACCGTCATCTTCACCAGTGGTCACTTCGGATGCAGTCGGGCCATCACCGTGGTCGTACTGGTGCTCTGGAGTATCGCCATCTTCCAGTTTAGCATCGCCATCCCAGAGAAGAAGAACAGGGTGCACGTCGAGAAACCGGAAAACGGTAAAGTCGAGTTGAATGAATCCATGAATGAAACTGCCAATATTACAACACTAGACTTGCTTCTAACTAGATTTTACAGCAATTATAAGATAAATACCATACTGGAAAATATTCCAAAATATCAATTTACTGATTTGGCTGATGGGCTGATTGGCCCTTATATTGCTTCCACATAATGTAATACTCTAGACCTGCCCCTCAAACGTGCAAAATTAATTTTATCAAAAGTTGTCACCCTCGTGTTCCTGCTGTTTTCTGCTATTATTGTCATTTTTATTATGACACATGGAAATTTTGTTCATTCCTAATCTCTAGTTAAACCCATATCAACAGAACACCGGATATATTTCTCCAAGTTCTATATCCGTTAACCTCCAAACTACAATGTATTTCACATGATAGATATACCATTATCATGAGATATATATATATATATATATAATATATATTTAATTTATATTTTCTTGTGCACCTTCACAACAGATCATCTTAACATGTGGGTAGATGCTGTCAACCAGCTACTGGCAAAGCGTCGTGAGACGGCAGGTGACATTTCATTGTATGTTGCCAAAAAGCAGATTAGACCACTCAGTCGGATGATGCAACGGCGGAAGACAGTACCCAACATCGGTCCAAACAACTGGGTACAATCAATAGAATTCAGAGAGGCGATAATATCCATCACAATACAAGACGGCCCCTTCTTGGTATTTCGATTGGTCGCACTCGCGACGTTAGGCGACGCGGCGTTTTCGGTGTACTTTTACGCGCTGAAGAACCTGACGGTCATCATGCTTCAGATTTACCGGGTTTACGCCATGCTGGTGGAGATTAGGCAACGTCGACGCGAAAGCCTGTTACCTGTGAACAACGGTGCCGCAAATGACGTGGAGAACAATAACATGGAGACGGATGATTCCTCAACTTCGGTGTCGGATAATTTGACGGTGACCGAAAAAGTATACGCTTTCGATGAAGGATTGACAGGCAAAGGCGGCAATGGAGGAACGTTAAATTCAATGAGCCAGGCCGATCTCCATGGAAACCACCACAACAACACAAAGGGGGGCAGTCTTAATAGAGGTTTGGAGAGGGCGCCCGTCATGTTGCCTACGTCAAGCGAAAGTGATCTAAGAACAAGGCGCCAGAGCAAAACCGTTGAAAATTCCCATAGTTAACCGAGAAATGAAGCAAATGACCATGATATCTCTATGATGACGTACAAACATTGATTTCATTGAGTTCTTGTGACATGTAGGACTCTATTTTTGCAAGAAGCATAAATTAAAGCTCCTATCTAAAAATGCGCGATGCTCATACTTTTCTTAGCGTGTATTCAAATATTCTAAAAACCTTGCCAGATCTTTTATTTATTTCTTTCGTCGTCTATTGGCCTCTTCTTTTCTTCACCTTTTATCTTTTCCTTTCTAGCTTGCTTTACATGTTATGTAATATGGGGATTAGCCCGACAATCTGTGACAGGGGTTAACAGTGACAACGTTTTTTTCAAGTACGTTGGTGGGGGGGGGGGGTACAATCTAAAACGGCTGCCAAGGGATGGAGGCACAATAGAGGGCATATTAGTCTTTTGCACTTCATGTCACGAATTATTGTACAAATTAGAAATTCTTAAAGAAACTGTATTCCTACTTGTTTGTTTATCTTCATCATTGCCTTACTAGCCTGATCGAAGGTGCAAAGTTAACACGCATGGGAAAGGGGGGGAATTTTGCAACATAAACTATGTACTATGTACTTTTTTTATTTACCGATAGTAAGATAATCATGTGGATCTAATTAATGGTTATATATAATTCAGGGGAAACGAGTATTTGACGCGGCCGAAGAATGAACCCCCACCCCCCCCCCCCCAAAAAAAAAAAATAAATAAATAAATAAATAAAATAAAATAAAAATAATAAATAAATAAAATAAAAAATAAAACACAACAACAACAACAAAGTAATAACTATTAACTACAAAGACGGGGTCGCAATTTTGATATGAAAATGACCACGGCCAAATGCACGCTTATTCTAAACCAATGGTAATAGCGTATTGTCATGGGCTTTGAACCCGGAACTACACCTTTGCCCTAAATAAAATGATGCCCCCCCCCCCTCATGCCACGAGCTTGCTTGCAACATAACAAGCGTCTTGTACATGTAAGATCATTCCAGCTTAGGTGTTATTACTGATTATCATTTTGGGGGGGGGGGTTTTGTAAAGATTATATTAAGTGCAAAATATGAATTCCTATTTGCAGAATTGTTGAGTATGCCTTTGCAATATATGTCATACTAATGTGAGTTTTATCTGTGAATGATTAAAGTAATCTTTGAAAATATTTATCAAAACCCATATATGCAACTATGTGTCATCATTATAATACTGCCACCACAACAAATCAGCACCATCGATATATTTCTTGGCCCAAAAGACCACATCTTCAATGGTAGAGGTGTCGCCGTCGAGTGGTTTAAGCACTTGACTTGAAATGCAAAGGTCGTGGGTTCGATCCCCGACATGGCACTAATGTCCTTAGGCAAGGCATTAATCTACATTTGCCACTCCATACCCAGGAGAGAAATGGGGACCTGGTAGGATGAAGAAAGTCTTTGTAATTGCCATATGCCTTCACGATGGCCGTATGATAGGAATAGTATCCAGGGAGTGGAGGTGGTTCAAATTGTGTGTGAATGAATCCGATGACCGGGGGTAATGATATCTGTAAACCGCTTAGAAATGGTATTTCGTATTTATAATAAGCGCTACATAAATACAGATTATCATTCCCCATTCCTTAGTTATATACACTATCCAATCTGAACATTATTCTGCATTATGTACATTCGGTCCCTTTTTGATAAAGAAAGAATGAAATTCAAAACTCTGCCATAAATTTTACATTGTTTTCAGGGTACCTCCAAAGTCGTCAGTTTAAGAGCCGGGCTAATCATGAAGATTCATTGTAAAGATGAGATGATAAGCAAACCTTCTAACACTGAATAAACAACAAAATATTTTTAAAAAATGAAGGGGGTGTTTAACCCCCCCCCCCCCCCCCCCCCCCCCACCTGCGTACGCGCCTGGTGTCATACATGCATCGTCATATCATCCGAATCGTGACCGCGATGACAAGTCAACCCATAATTTTAGTTTTTTTCAAACACACGATATGACCTCTTCTTGTTTTAAGGGCATTTTCACGAGGAAAGAAATAGCAGGAAATCAGGAATTGCCGTCCTTACTGGAAAGAAGGACGAAATAACTGCCGGTGAAACCTCATTAAAAAACAAAAACACAATTGCACTAATGTTTCCTCGTTCCAGAATAGATTTTAAAAAAATCTATGACTGATATTTACAAACCTGTATGTTGCGGATCATTTGATTCTTCGTGTTTGAGAATCAGTTTATGAATGCAAAGAAATAAACATTTGATGAAATAAAATCAGTCTGTCCTATAATCTCACATATTATTTCGTCTGTCATCCCTCTTGACTCCCAATACACACAAATAACATAATAATACACTTCAATTATTGTGGAATAGCCTGACAACGACTACTTAGAGCCGGTCGTTTATTCAGTATGAATGTTTAACAAACATTTCGTCTCTTTTCCTTCACTGGAAACCGTTTCCTTCACTTGAAACTGGACCTATCATGGTCCAGGATAAAAAAAACCAGAGATAAAACTCAACGGGCATAAAAACTCTGGAAAACCTTATTTAAACACAGTCATGTAACACTACATGACACAACGCACTTTTTTTTGTTCTGCAATGACCTTGATCTGCTCATGCTCAGACTGCAACCGTGAACTGGCTGCCTATACAAATTACATTCCATCGGGGCACAGCCCCGGACCCAACATAAGTATGCATTCATTAACGATACAAATAACATTTGTCTGCTACACAATCGTACCGCAGACAAATAATATTTTAAACACGGATGTTTATTTATAATTCTAGACCAATATCAAGCATGTCAAACTAGAAAACTATAGTTTGACATGCTTGATATTGGTCTAGAAAAACAAATACACATTGTGCAATCTCAATCCGTCGCACTCCATGGTTATTTGTAACCAATGCCTTTTCCCGCAAATTTCTGATGAAGATATTTGGGAAGTAACAGCACTTGTAACCATCGTGTCATTAGCTGTGTCATTAGCTATGTTTACACGGTTCGTAGTCGCAGTTTTTAAAACTAAACCCTTGCCTCTCGGAGCCTGGTGATCTCTGTATAACGCCTGTGGGAATTAGGAAATTCAGTAGTGAAATGTTGCCATCAATTTGTTGGCGAATCTGTGGCTCCCAACACTTTATAGGGCTTTATTAATAACTAGAAGCCGTGTAAAGCTGACGGTTCATCAAATTTAATTGCGTTCGCACAGCACGTAACAAAAGCATACCATCAAGTGTTGACCCCCCCCCCCCCCCCCCCACTACCCCCACTGCATTGCTCATGGTTTGTGACTTCGAGTAGATCCTGTTATTTCCTTTCAAAAGAAACATGTGTTAACACAATCATCGAGATTTATATTTCAGGTGTGAATGGGTCGAGGTTATAATAGGCCACATAAAGGAAATCACTGACTCACACAGTGCGGTTTATCCAATGAGTTTTAATGGTCCGCAGAAAAACGTTGTTATTGTTGTTGAATGATAGTTAAGCTACCCCAGTATTCATTTTTTGTTTAATGATTCTATTTATATATATTACATTATCTCCTATGATACATTTCATTGCGTTAACTTATACAGTAGAGCAAAGTACACAGTAGTCATATACAACTTCCGATAAAAAAAACACCTACTTTCATCGTTCATTAACGTCTGCAAGAGTGCTCCAGATCAATTTCAGATCAACTCGCAATTTTCAAACATTAGTTTCAAAAGAATAATACTGGCTGAAAGCCAGACTAGTGTTTTGGCGGCTATTGCAAGTCTCTTATGATCTGAGAAATCAGGATGCGTGCTAGTTTAATCGGTACGCGGACCTCGAGTACCCAAGCCTATTAAATGGGAAAGTACCTCCCTGTATACTTCGAGGAAAGCTGCCCTTTGGTGACAATTGTTTGAGGGGGACCATTGAATCTGAGAACAAAAGGCTCTCGAGCCGCGATTATCTTGTCAGTTTTTGTCGACATGCCATAACGAAAAGAGGATTTAAAAGAGATACATTCGCTCTCTTGCATCAAAGCGTATATAGGCCTACTGCGAAAGCTAGAGAGGTAAAACATACACGACTTAGAAATTGTTATGCAGCCGATTTTTAACGTTTTCATGTTCCTGTAATCGTCATCGTCATCAATTTCTTCATCAATCTATGTTGTCACAGTGGACTTCTTCAGACTTCAAACCAAAAGGTTGGTATCATTTCGATTTATTTGTTATTTGCAGAGTTAGCTTGATCTAAGAAAGTCGAATCAATGTTGTCGCTTTTATTTCTTGTTTTGCTCATTTATGATATGGTCATCGACAGCGAATGTTGTATATGCAAGCATGAAAGCCAATACAAAATGGGTAGAATTAGTTATTATATTATAATGATGAGGGTATTATGGTGATAATGATTGTGGGCACTACATATGCAAGATGCAACCTCTTGCCCCTCTGCCTCCCTAACTTGTATATAATAAGAATGATTATTAAAGAGAATGAGTACAAGAATATAGACCAATAAGATATACCTGGAAGCATTCTTCCAGTATTTGTGGTAAAGGTAAAGGTAATAATCCTTGCAACATCTTGCGCAGATTTGCAGGGGAAAAATTGAATGTAGAGCCTACATCTAGTGGAATCGAAAGCCCAAAAGAGGAACTGTTTTGTTTTGTCTTTTACAATTATTACATAAAGTTGATTCATATAATATCATATATGAAAACCCATAGGGAAGTAAAACATAAATACTATAGGAAAAAAATAGCAGTTTATCCTACTGGCATTATATTGGATTGATAGGCCATCACTTTCTGCATAATCATTGCATAACAGTTACGGTCTCATACTTTATATAATGATTTTCACACAGCGAATTCAGAGCTGTTCGAAATGTGTATACAAGAGTGCTTTAGATGTCATACAAATAGGAAGTGACGTAATGACAGTGATTTCTGTAATTAGAACAAGGACTTTAGCATTGTTGTTATTTATAAAGAAATCATTACTCATCAGTTCATAATTAACCTAAAATAAGAAAATGATTCACAAATATGGTACTTGGTATATGGTATTTGACAGAAACAGTAGATTGAAACTAATTGGGAGAGTGTGGTGCCTAAATGTTGTGATCAATTTGAAAAATGATATGCAACAAGATCGCAAAAAAAACTGTCGAGAAATCAACTCAAGGTCAGTACTCTTTTGTATATCCCATAGAATTCATATTCACTCTAGGTACTTTGTTATTGTAAGTAAGCATGTTACAATAGGGGGTGGACCAATTGCCTCAAGAAAAAATTTCGAAAATTGTTTGCGATCGTGTAAATATAACGAATTCTCTCAGAACTATTGACCAAACTCTACATCAATTCCAGGGATGTTACTTTTGTGACAAAAATAACAGATATTAACCTTGATAAAACCCGGCCCGAGTTCAAGGCAATTTTGAGTTCTGACAGAAAATTATTCACATAATCAAATGAAACTTACACTTTCGTGAAGTTCCGAAACTTCAGATAATAGAAAATGTATGAAAGCTAAGTAAAGTAATGAGCAATGAAAGATGGACCCATGGGCATAGTAAAAAGTCTCTATGTATGGGTTGCGCTGGCCAGTTTTGAATGGGATATCCAACCAAAAAAAAAAAGGGATTGCTATTGCTTCATTCAAACGGTTTTCACTAGTAATTTGTTTTTCACTACTGTAACATCCAATGTATTCATTTATTATGTAATGCCTATAGGCAAATCTACTTGCAACATCCTGTTGCTGATCTCCGACAAAAGCGGAGGGATCACAATAAGAAGAAGAAGTATTATTTCAACAGGGTAGCCCCGTATATTTAAACTACTGTTATACTTGAACCTTGCAGCTAGTCTACTGCATTATAAAGAAGTCAAGCTTAGTTCATGCAAGTTTCTATTTAAAAAAAAATGCAATTCCAGATTAGCACTACCTACGAGTCGATGAATGCATTTGTTTTGAATACTTAATGCAGAAGGTAGATAAAAAGAAAGTGTTTACAAGACATCCATCGCATTAAAGGTGATTGTAAAGGTTATACCCTTCGGGAATGTGAGATTCCATGGCTTTGGTGACTGTGCGATTAACCATGGACCATATTTGGACTGATGATCTCAGCCAACTGTCACACTCTAAGCCTGATTTAAGTTGTTTTGTGTCATCACGATGTCACAATGACGTGGGGGAGGGGGCAACTAGTTGAATGACGACACACTGTTAGCAAGTGAAGCCGTTTTATACAAGTAATATCATTGTCTCATTAAGACTGTAACAATGCAGTGTCGTGTCAAGAGGCACATTGTTTGGTTACATCAGAGTTACGTTCGCATCTAACCAAGTACATGTAACAAGTCAAAGAAATGTGTACTCAAGGTGAAGTTCGAGGTAGTTAGTGCGCGTGTGGACGGAGCACAGTCCAGACAACTTATATCGCCCTTTTACTATCTCGACGGAAAATGACAGCAAACGGAACGAATGACGACACACCGTTAGCAAGTATTAGGCATCAACAAACAACTTTAAGGAAGTGCATGAGGCCAATAGATAAGCAATCTAGACACCATTCGACTGAAATCGGTTTCTCACCTGACTTCCGAATGTGTATTTTGTTTATCATAATTTGTATCTTTAGGTGAGAATTTAACAACGTAAAAAATGTATTTAGAAGATAATAATATGTTTCATGAGATATTCTTTCAATCAATCATGCTAGTACATTTAAATATCAACATATTTTTTCTTAGGTAAAATGTAATACATAGGATTCATTGCTAAATTATTACTTTTCAGCTTGTTATCGGGATATTGCGTTCTAGAATATTATTGTAGGACTGTCTCCAAAATGGTGGCAAAAATCGACCCAGGGGCAAGTTCATTACCTTCTATATCCTATAGAAACCATGTTGGAATAACGTAACACGTCATTGTAGTATTCGCAAATTGTATTACATGAAAAACAAGGCTATTTAAAAAGGCCTTGTTTGATATTTCGAAAGTCTTTACCACCCTGTGCTATCATCATTACGGGCATTTAAATAACCCGTTTTCAGCATGTTGCATCAGTTCCTAGACGTCAATTTTTGTCAATCAGTCGTTCATTTCTATTATCGTTTTTCCTACATTTTCTGTTGGGGGGAAAATGAGGCAAGATGAAGTACTTCCAGCTTGGATCTTAAGTTTTTTAGAATGTCGTAAACAAAGTACATTATATAATGGAACTCTGTCAGATATTAAATTTTGTCATGCCGGTGTTCCCCAAGGGACACGCCTTGGCCCAATTCTGTTCTCAATTATGGTTAATGATTTATGTGAAAATATTCCTATACATAACTTCAAATATGTTGATGATTTATCTTTAGTACAATGTCGTAAATCAACAGACGTTTCACAATTACAATCCATACTTAACTCTGTGCAAAACTGGTCTTAATCAAACAATATGTCACTCAATCCTTTGAAGTGTTTTACCCTGCAAGTTACTTTTATGAAAAATCCTGCTCCTCCTGAAGTTCTTTCCATTAATGACTCTACTCTATGCAATGTACAAACTCTCAAAATTCTTGGAGTAATTATACAATCTGATTTGAAATGGAATTTACATGTTAATGATTTAGTCAAAAGGTGCGATAGAAAACTGTACATGTTGAGGAAACTTAGGAAATTCAATTTACCGTTTAAAGATTTAGTGACCATATACGTCTAGGTTATATACGACCAATTTTAGAATATTGTGCTCCAGCGTTCCATAGCAGTTTTACAGTAGAACAAAATAATAATCTTGAAAAAATACAACGTAGAGTATGTAAGATTATTTTAGGGCCTAGTTACATTACCTTTTCTAATGCATGTCAAGTATGCAATTTACCAACTCTTGAGGAGAGGAGACTAGCACTTTGTAGAAAATTCGCAAAACCCCTTTCTAATCACTCTATTTTTCAGACCTGGTTACCTAAGAAAAAAAAAACACTAATATCACTCTTCGCCGTATTCCCATTTATCAACAATTTCAATTCAAAACAAAAAAAAATTAAAAATAGCCCACTGTCATTTTTAGTTGACATACTCAATAAAAGTTGAAAAAAAAACTTGTTTTATTGTTTACTTTTATCGTTATTGCAGGTATACTAAGTGCTTGTCTCCTCCCCCAAGCAGGCTGTTGATAATGTACCTATTTAAATATTTTTACCATGCTTGTATTGACTTTTATAGGACATTTGTAAACAATTACAGCTGTATTTCTGGAAACTTGTGCAATGTGCTTATGGATTTTAGTTACAGAATCTAAGTCTTATTTTTGATATTGCTAGTTTTTTACATGTATATATTTAAAAGTGTTATCCATTGTGCCGAACATGTAAACATGAATATTCCAGCCAAGGCTGTTCTTCATGTAAAATTGTATTTGAATGAACCATGTTTCTTCTTTTTCTTCAGAAATTATTTCGAAATATAGTGCAGTCCAATTAACACAACTTTTTGAATGAAGAGCTGGATGTGTTTGTTTATACGTTCGTTTTCTTGGAGGTTTGAACTTTAATAATGATATAATAAAGTTCATAGTTAATTGGCTGCCTGATCGATCCGGTGTCGTACACATTACTAACGACTACATCGTTTGTAGAAAATAACCCATATATTTGGCAAATATCCATTTTCTTTGTATTATGATAGCATACATGTATAGGTGCTTGACTTGGATAATGTTATCACATTTGGGCTAGTCTTGTTTGACGAATATTCCGACTCATAACAGCAATGGACAACAACGGGTTATCAAAGAATGGCAACCCTTTACTATTATCCCAGTAATAACAACACAACAACAATAATAACATCAACAACAACAGAGAAATGCTCAAAAGGTTACGTATTTTCTTCCAATTCTGAAGTTTCTATGCAACGACGGGTTGCTTTTTTTGTTCCTGCTATATATCCCCCTTAATTACGGGTTCATGGCCACAATTTAGCTGCACAAATGTCCAGTAATGCTTGGATGATTTTTCTTTGAAACTATATTGCTTTACAAATCACAAAACCACAAAAGCCGACGCATGTGTAACAAGGGTCTAGATCCAGAATCTTTGGGCGTTCGGTAAAAACTTCGGCCTTGTTCTGTTCTAATGGTATTAAGTACAAAAGTTAGGGACATAACACAGATAATATAAAGGTGAAAGATGAGTGTTTGAGAGACAGAGAGAGAGACAGACATAGACAAAGAGAGACAGAGAGAAAGAGAGAGAGAGAGCGCGCGCGAGAGAGAGAGAGAGGTCCACGGGGGAGCTCGAAATAATGGAAAAAGGGAAAGAAAAGAATAATAAGAAAAGAAGGGTTCGTTGTTGATCAGAGCTGTGATTATTTTGTCGAACCAAAAAGTTTCATGAAAATCTCCAGCAATTTCAATTCCATTGCTGGACACTAACTTTTTAATGTTATAATATCCACATGTTCTACCTATCTTGATACGAACAAGAGTCGTAATTGGACTGATAATACATGCATGCAATCGAAATGGACAAATTTTCCGGTCAATACACTAGCACAATTATATTCACAAATATGACACTTAGAACGTACACAATTCAATCGCGAATAAAAGGTCAATTGACGTGACAAGTACCATTATCAAACATAGACATAACAATATTCTGAAAGAGACCGAATAGAGAGACTGAGGTATAAATATATCTTGTTCTTTATACAATTTTTAAGGCATAACTGTTTTGTTCTGAAATGGCAGATTGACGTCTCACAGACGATGACGACTGAAAGAAGCATTTCGCTGTTTGCAGCCTTCAAGGCGATCATCGTCCGGCTCGTCTACGCTGCCAACGGCATCGTTCTGACGTTCTTCGTTCATAACGTCTTAAAGGAGGACAGAGTCTTCCTCATCAATGCCCTTCTCATACCATCGATGATCGAAGTCGCCATCACTCTCAAATACAAGAAGAAAGGGGAATGGACATGGTAAGACTGGAGTTGGGCGCTGGTATAGCACCAGTCACACCGCCAAACCGACTCCACACCGACTTCAAACCGATCGATTCTTAGCCATTCGGTGTAATGTAAATTTGTGATCGGTCTGTTGTTGGTGTGGTGTCGGTCTCCTTAGTGTGGCTGGGGGATAACCCCTTTCGTACATAATTCATTGTTTTATTTAGCATCAGAGGTACTTATTTCGAGGTCTAGGGGGAGGAGGGGTGCAGGCTCCGGTAATGTGAAATATTCGGAAAAAGGCCACCTAAAAATCATGTCAAATTCGGAAAAAGGCCACCTAAAAATCATGTCAAATTCAGACAACCTCTACCATATATTTGAGCAGTTATGTAGTCTGACATTATGTGTGATAAACTGTCGATTTTTTCCACGCTAACGGAATATTCGAATACGGTAAAAGAATTATGCATCAAATTCTCCAGCAGAAATGTAAGAATAGCCAGGGAATAACCCATTTTTTTTCGAAGAGTCAAATACAAACAAACTTGGATTTCTCCACATTATAATGAGGAGTGAATAATACTGATTATCAATAATCAACTGTTGTATTGATCGATAGCGATGAAGAAAAAGTGAAATAAACTTCTTGCGGGTAATAGCCTTGAGGAAGTCGCATTTTGTGATAGTGAATGTTAACATATTTCAGCTGTATGAATTTCTACAAAAATGGAGATGACAAAGCAGTTATTTTTGGACACTTAACGATCTTGATGTTAAGCTGCATGCCAAAAAACATAACACATCATCAAGTCCTAAGCCAAGGAGAGTTCATGGTTTATAACAGTTGTACGCAGAGAGAGTAGAGGAGCCCGGGCAAAGGGGATAATTTATTCATGATTGTTAATTAAATTATGTAGCTTAGGGTAAGCATGATGGCGATAAGCAGAACATTGAACATGCTTTTGCTTGTAGGACTGTTGATGCCAACATTTTCTTACGGCTATATCAAGGGGGCGCATGCCATGTCGCTACATATTCGGCATATAAGGCCTTACATGCAATATTTGAAAATATCCAGTATGCTCATATTCAAGGCATGTATCATGTATATCAGGCATACTTCGGCTCTTGAAGAGGCAAAACATCCATACAGAGGGTGACTTATCTGAAATGATTTTGCTAAAAAATTATCTTTCGGTTTTTTTAAATTTCTGGTAGAAAAATTTCATGATATTATGTGGAAGGATATACTTTATTTATGAACTTGCCTATAATACAGACAAAAACTATGTTGATTTCAGCCATTTCTTCTTTTTTATTACACATAGATAACTTCTTGTATCATTTGTGACAAGTGTTTCTTTTAATTTACTCATATATTTTGGTAAAGTTTCAATATAAGAAAGAAATCAATTGACATCGTTTGTTTTTCTTGTTTTATATATGATGATATTATTTCTTTAATCGTAATAAACCTATACAAAGTAAATTTGGGTTATCGGGATGAGTTCCTTCACAAAAATAGTGTGATCATATTGATGATTTCTAAATCGTCTTTCAATACCAGTAGTGAAGACCACTTTGATGTAATTTGCTTCCTCTTATCATAGGTTCATACCGAGCGTGTTCATTTACCTCCTGTGGGTGGTACCCTGTATCATCGTCCTTGAAATCTACGCTCTGACCTTCAGGAAACACGTCGTGAGTGCCACAGGGATGTCAACGTGTCCTATCGTGTTCTATGACGAATGTCGCACAGCGGTGGTTGAGGCGATTGAAGCAGAGGCCGATACGCATGTAGCGCAGGACAGCGTCTTAGGAACCAACTTCACAGGCCATGTGCTCGACCCGGTAGGTAGCACGAATAATTAGATTTCCCCAGGAACTTATTCTGACCTTCTTCTTCCCTATTATCAACTTCATAGTCCTCTTTATCGTCTCCCCTTTTGCTTTCTTTGTCAAGTTCTCCTACCATCCGTTTTCATGCACTAGTACCGAACAGCTTCTGAAACCAATGACATGGGCTGAAATAAATGTATTTCCTTTTCCCGAAATTATTTGGCCTTGAAAAACTGACCAACATTTTGATATCAAATTCAGTTGGTAAATTTGTCATACAGAGCAAACATTATACAAAGATAAAATAATGTTGTCAACTTAAATCTCTATTATTGTTGTGTTTTTTTTCACGCAAAGGCAACGCATGACTTGAGTCGGCGCTACTCCATGCTCTCCCAGCAAATCATGATGTTAATCATCATCTTTGGTAGATGGATGGCACCCAAAGGAAAGCTATCACGTGATCAACTTTCCAGTCTCCTATTGGCTCTGACAGCAATGTCACTGGACATGTTGGAATTCTCGACAGACAGTCTGAGCATCGAGGCTGTGGCATGTGACAAAATCTACGTAGGTTTCATCATCGCCGTCTGGTGCTGGAGCCTCTTGCAGATTCCTCTGGGACTGACCGCTGTGAAGCAGCGAAAACCTCGAGTCGCCGGTACAATCGAATCCCGTGACTCCTCCGACGGCACGACCGTAGTCGGAAAAGGGAAAGGTAATGGCTTTAACTGGAAGGCGTACTGCTGCTGTTGCTGCGAGAGCGAAATCTGGTCCCTGATGGTGAGTATCTTCATGCAGGACGGCCCCTACCTGATCCTCCGCCTTTACATCATGTTCTCGACAGGTTATATCGGAGAGACGCTCATCTTTTTCGCCGCCAAAAACGCACTCATTGTCATGCTGCAGACGTACCGCGTCATTGTGAAGGTGAACCAAGGTGTGCGTAAGAGGCGTGAAGGCCAATCTATAAAGGGTCGTCCAAATCTACCTGGTGGGAATTCCCATCACATCGTGAAAGCAGAGGGGTTGCAGATTGGTGGGGGAAGTAACACCGAAAGCGTTGTGGTCACCATCTCCCGCGAGGGCAGTGATGTCTCTGAAGATGGTGCCACATCCCTAGGCGAGGTCGCACTCCAAGATGAAGAAGCAAACCGAAGTTCCGAGACTTCCCGAGGACAAGATGAATCTCAGAAAGACATTTTGGAAGACGCGGGTTACCAGGACGTGACCCTTGAAATAAGCGAAGGAGTGACGCCAGCTACAGAATGATGAAAACGTTTGTGAGAAACTGAATATTGATCAAATACTTCTTCTGCAGAACACCAAACCGTGACATTATGGACGGAATTGTGAATAAAATGGTGGTATTACTGGTTACTAATTGTATGATCGATGGTGCTAGGCTTGACCAGTAATACTTCAAGGGAGTGCTGAGGGTTGTCTTCTTAAACAATTTATGAGTTAATTTATTTAAAACAAACAATTACCTTGTTCATCTGTACAAGAACTTTTAGATTGTACGCCATCTTAATGTTGTTTGTCAGAAGAGTAAGATAATGTATTTCATATGATAACGTTACTCTGAATTAGGCATTATTTTATACATAAGTTTGAAGTAACTTCATGCTTTATATGTTTTTTTCTGTTTGACAATCTTCCATTATTTGGTAGTATTTCTTCTTTCCTTTAAAACGTCTTTTGTCTGGCTTAGGGTTTGGGTGTAATGGTGAGTTATATCTTTAATTTTTGAGGGAGCAATGAAAGTGATGAATGGAAAAAAGAGAGGCGGGCACAGTATGAAAATTCACAAGGTTCGATCCTCGCTCGGTGCTTACATCCTCGGACAATTTGTCGACATTTGTCTCTCTCGACCCAGGTGTATCAAACAGGTACCTGGTAATGCATATGTAATAGTGATTACAGTAAAAGAAGCATTGTAATACTGATATGGCTACCCTGGTTAGATAAGCCCCAATTATTATCTATTATTTACAACAGGAAACATCAATCTGTACTTGTTTGTCAAAGGAAAAATGACAAAAATAGAACATTTTACATTGGTTGAATTTTGAGTCTTGTTAATATCTCTGAAAGAATTATGACATTTTAATCAATATGATTTAGATTTCTTGCAGATGGCTAACATTAATGCTTGAGAATCGCATCATGAAGTATATACAAACTACAAAGAGGAACATGCAATGTATATTATGTCTTGGTGATTACCACGAATATTTGTGAAATTATCTATCTATTTATTCAATTTATACGTACATTGTATCATAATGACCATTCGCCAAATCATTGATTCAAGTAGGTAATAGAAGAGTGCACAAAGCATTCAATTGGAAATTGATAACAAAAATCCAAGAATAATCATAAAACTCCGGGACTAGTTGTCATCGTCGCTTTTCTCAAATTATTTATCTAGTCCCCAAAATTCAGTCTGTTGATTCGACGATGATTTCGTATCGGTAGAAGTTTTTTTCATGGCATTTTACGCTTGTTTCAGCCTTTGGCTCGGTTCAAGTTATACAAACGAAGGATTATCTTCTTCTTTTTTGGGGGGGGGGGCGAAAGGATGGCTCGGTGTAAAAATGTCAGAGGAAAAAATGTCAGAGGTAAAAATGTCAGAGGAAAAAATGTCAGAGGTAAAAATGTCAGAGGAAAAAATGTCGGAGGTAAAAATGTCGGAGGTAAAAATGTCGGAGGTAAAAATGTCGGAGGTAAAAATGTCGGAGGTAAAAATGTCAGAGGTTAAAAATGTCAGAGGTAAAAATGTCGGAGGTAAAAATGTCAGAGGTAAAAATGTCAGAGGAAAAAATGTCAGAGGTAAAAATGTCAGAGGTAAAAATGTCAGAGGTATAAATGTTAGAGGTATAAAATAAAAACAAAAGCATGTGACAAGTTTGTTTTGGTTACACCCGGGTTATATATTAGGCTTATCGAAAAAGAACAGCGAGGGATATTCTGCAGTCGTTATTTCACCGCTGCTTTATTCTCCACTTTCCCAGTTTAAATTTATTTACCTTTCGGCCCCAAAATGTGACTTTTTGCTCGATTATTGTCGAAGGAAGACGGGGGGGGGGGGTATTCTTCTTCTGGGGCACGGTAACCCGGCTGCTCTCCCCTTCCTCTTATATGCTTTGCTATATATCCTTCCGAACAGTGGTCAATGCCTAGGCAGAGCAGGCAGACTAATGGGACATGGTTTCTACTCCGAGTTTCGCGCCTTGCACGCAGTCATCAGGCAACTGACAGCATTCTTAAAAGTACATGGTTATCCTACAACCTTAAATCGGTACAAATACCCCTAAAATAAGACTTAACTAATAAAATACAATTGGAATTACTCATGAGTATTCTTATTGTATTGTATTCAGGTATTGTAGTCTTATTGTATTGTATAGCTCTTATTTTGAGCGTATTTGTACCAAGGTTGTAGAGGAATCATGTACTTTGACGAAAGCTATCAGTTGTCTGATGATCGCTCGATCGCTTGCAAGCTAGGCGTGAAACTCGGAGTAGCAACCATGCATGTCCCATTAGTCTGCCTTATTCAATATTGATATACCGGTATATTATGCTTTTGTATAAGCAAATGGTACTGGTACACTGAGCAAACTTCTGGGGGAAAAGATTTCTAAAATCGAGAAGTTTGACCTTTTTTTTATAGGCTGAGTTGTCGCTCCATGGTGTAATCATTAAATAAAAAGAAAAGTCAGTACAGCCCACAAAATATGATCAGATATCTATGACCCCCCCCCCCCCCCCCCCCCACTTCTTCACTTTTGAAGATTGTTGGACATTTCAACTGCGTGGCAATGACTACTATTATATGTAATTTCCAATAAATGCATATTTCCGACAATTCCACTTTCTTGTGGGCTTGGTATTTTGATACTCTGAAAGTAGGGTCCATGCTGAAACAAAGCAGAAAGCCATGTTATCAGTGCTAACCGCACCATCACATTCCCGAAGTGCGCACGTTGCAATAAAATATTGTCGATTACTATTGCGGTATAAAGTAGTCTGGGAAAATCAATAAGCAGCTTTGTTACTCCGATACAAAGCAGCAAGCCGCCCATGTTACATCAATTAAAGAGAAGGTTGAGTTCTGGGGAAAGGTGAACAATAATGTGTGAGCGTTTGTTATCATTCTTATTATGCAAATGTGGAAGAACATCAAAGAAAAAAGTTATTCCCTGAAAATCTATTTCATATGACTTCATATCCCAGATAATTATGACAAGTAACAGCTTTAAAATGAGGCCCGATTTGTATGCCATATGTTTGTGTAGTCCCATATCAATATCTTTCTGTGTACCAAAGATTTTATCATTTTGATGACTCCAAAACCTTGCACTACACACCAATACTTACATGATTATGCTAGATGATCAACCTTTTCTGATTGCTTCCACACCGTTTCTTTCACAATGCAATCGCAAGACCAGAACTCAACTTTATCTTTAAATGCCAACCGCACCATCACATTTTAGAGAAGCGCGCGCTTTGCAGAGGTTCGGTTTAAATTACATCGTTATTTATAATTGTCGGAGAGTTTAAAATGGGGATGAGCTTCTGAATCGAGACGGTCTTTTACTTTTTGGAGTGGGTTTTTAGTTTTCGGAGCGACTTTTTACTTTTCGGGCGACTTCTTGTTTTTTCTCATTCTTACTCCACTTCCTTTGCCGCCATGAGGTGCTAAAAGCTTTAGCAGAGTTCGGGGCGCCCAGCCCTTATATGTAACTTTTCGTGATTCCTCGTGATTATGTAACTATTTTGTACTAAATGCACTACTCACTTTAACACTTGACTTTTGTCGAGAATTTTCATTTCTTCGTTTGGTCTTTGTTCGTCTCTGGAATGTTACACGGGCTATGTTGCAGGCTGCCACCGGCCAAACCGGTCCGTTTCACAAACATTAACACATCAACCTATTCAAAATATCAAAAAATGTTAGACATTCATTATATGCAAGCCTGATCACAACAAAATAAATTTCAAAATCTATTTTCCACATTGTATTATCCTCGGGACATGTACGAAATACAACACACAGCCATTTATAAAATTTACATTATGGAAGAAAGGAATATAATAGACTAGCCCATGCAGTAGCAGTACGTCTCAACATTCTTTGTGATAAAAGTGTTGAGATATTATGACGGCACTCATTTTTTTTGCTTGTACCTCTGACATTTTTACAACTGACATTTTTTCCTCTGACATTTTTACCTCTGACATTTTTACCTCTGACATTTTTACCTCTGACATTTCTTCCTCTGACATTTTTACCTCTGAAATTTTTACCTCTGACATTTTTACCTCTGACATTTTTTCCTCTGACATTTTTACCTCTGACATTTTTACCTGGCACCGAAAGGATACAGGGGTGAAATATGAATTTTACAGTTTTCTCGTATATTGCTTTACTCAAATTGTCGCCTTTTTTACATTGTCTATCTATATTCTAATTGTCTAATTTGTTTATATTATTAATAATAACGATAATGGTGACTTTTTATTTAGCGCACGTGTTTGCCACGTTGTGACGCTCCTGGCGCCGCCCCGATTTTCTAGCTGTACTCTTATATTTTCAGTTTTACATTTGTGTCTAGTTTTTTAGGGCAATATCCAAAACAAAATCTGTAATCCGCTGTTTGTTCTACCCACACAAATTAGAGTTGTCAAGGTTTTTATATTTTGTAAATAGATCGAGAGGAAATTTATTTGAATATACAAAATACTCTCGGCATAGAGGTAATATGTTTTAGGCTGTCATATTGTAAAGTAATTCGCTTACAATTGCAGTCCTTCTTTCGCAGACACTTTTTAAAGTTTAATTAAATTTGACAATATGACAATTTTTCTTTTCTATTTTATATAATAATTATTATGTTCATTCGCTTATTATGATTCATTTTCAGAAAGTAAATGTTTGTGTTTTATGTTTGTTAAGTTATCGTTTTTTATACATCTAAATGAAATGCAGAAAAAAATAAATCAATTCAAATCAATCATTTCGTATCCGATGCTCTTTGTTATACAGGAATGTACGTTATTTCCATTAATTCATTTATTTATTGGTCAGTAGTACATTGAAACACGGGAAGTTGTTTAGATCACATATATTATTATTAAGGCTCAAGTAATTACTCTGTATTTATATTAGCGATACAGAAACATTAACAAATCGATGATATTATAATTATGTGCAGACAAGCACTGTTTTAAAACTCATTAAAATACAAGAGATACAGTGATTTTAGTATTTTTTTCTTTAGTTTTGGAGGTTATTTAAAACAAAATGTGTGTATTTACTTGATGTATGGAACACTGAACCGATGCCAAAGCTGTTGAGGAGTGCGGTCGGGTGAAATGTCAAAAAAGGGTTTAATCAAACAAATGTATAGGACACGAAAGGCATTCGCTGTAGCAAGGAAGGAGACGTTTCTAGTTATGCTATCGTCAGATGTCAGGTACGATGCTATATCGTAATGATTTCATATTATGCTTCAGTAAGATTCAAGATTCAAGATTTTATTGTCCATAATATAATACAGAAATTTGTTTTCCATTGGTATAACATGTAATACATAAAACATAAGACAAAAACACGGTGTCGTGTGCTGAAAGCCAGAAGGGCGTCAAGACTCTATAAGTCAATAAGTAATGCAATATGGATCCCAATTTGGAAAGCATTTATTCAGTATCTTAGGCTGTTGTGTGATTTGTGATTAGATGCTCGCATTAGATCCTGTTTTAACGAGCAATATATTCAAATTTTCTATTAATTCGGCTTTAATTTTGTTTTTAAAATCTTTAATTCAAACTTTGAAGAAAAAATAACACACGCATTGGGTACCATCTTTTTTTTTCTTTACGTCGTTTCCTTTTCATTTCCCAAAGAGTCTTGGGACAAGCAGGGGACAGCGTTCCCAAAATAGAAAATAGCAATTGTCTTTTTATGTTTATATTTCCAGTTGTAAATTATTATCAAATTCTATCTTCAGTGGTCTCATTTCTATTGCTATTTAAGGTAATCAAGTGCTGAATATCGAGTTATTGCATCACATACGTGATATTATTTCGCATGTTTTATTGATTGTACTAAAATAGATATGATCTAGACAAATCAAGGGCAAGTACATAATACGGATAAAGTATGACTGGAATGATGGGAGAGTTTTAGGCTTAAGAATGATATATGGACAAACTAAAAACGGGTCTTTTTCCAAAATGATCACCCAAAATACCAACATCAATAGCGTAATAATTCATTACCAATTAAACCATCACTGTTAGAACTTTCGTCTTGAGTATGTGTACTAGGAAAAATGCAGTCACTTTTTAATAGGTGTACATGTATGTGTGTTTGTGGTTCTGTATGTGTGTGTGTGTGTGGGGGGGGGGGGAGCAATTAAAAACCCCTCCAAAATTTATCCAAAACACCGGTTCTTATTGATTTGGTGGTGTCGACTAAATCTAAGCTGATACGTGGGTAGTCGATACATATTCTCAGAAATTGCAGCATGCATGTAACAACATTCATTATTGTAATTTCAGTTTCAGATATACACATAAATTCGGTTCATACGCATGGGAACTGCTGCGATAATGTACGCATCAAATCTCTACAAAATAATAATTATGATTGTAAATAGAACTCTCGTATAAATATTTCATTGAAAATAAAAATTAGATAAATACCTGCAAATAATAATATTTTAAAATATTTGATGCTAAAATGGAGCTGATTCAAAATGTGCCAAGAGCCTGTAATAAATCTTTTCACTCACTGGTTGATTGATGAAATAACTGACTAATTGATTGATACATGCAATAAGTGAAAGATAGTTTGACACGAACATCAATAGACAATGCATGCAAAAGTCGCACAGTGACCAATTAGTGCAAAGTGACCGCTCGATTAATAAGCAATGATTGATACGTGTTGTTCCGGGCAAACCTACGCAATGACGTAGATGTATATAACTAGGGATGGACGGGGAAACGGCATATAACAAATAATTTCAAAAAGAGAGGAATAGTGTAAGAATCTGGAGCAACATCATATGAGATTATAAATCCACCATGTTTTTATTCTTAAATAGCTATTTTACATTTTTAAATGGATATGATAGATAGATCTAGAGAGAACAAATGTTTTGTATTACATTATTTCACAATTGTAATCGGATAATTTAGAGATTTCCGATCCATACTATGAACATACAAAAGCTCCCTCTCCCTCTCCCCCCTCCCCCTAATAATCGAGCCTCCATTATTAAAGGCTGGTGATCGGGTTTTGTGAAAGAAGGTCATTAAAAACATTTCAATCATGCAGTCAAGGGCAAACTCTAAACAAAAAAGGTATATTTCATATTTAATATTCTAGTTGCTAATCGGTTTCCACATTGTATTTATTCTTTCATAAGAGTGTCAATATGATAAAGTGAATCATAATAATGAAAGCAGAACTGACTAAAGAAAGAAATAGATTGGACTCGTTTGCAATCTGTTAGTTAACAGTGAAATTCTCAATTGTGAGGAGGTGAACGGGGGGGGGAGGGGGAGGGGGAGGGAGCTCTTGTATGTTCATAGTATGGATCGGAAATCTCTAAATTACCTGATTACAATTGTGAAATAATGTAATACAAAACATTTGTTCTATCTAGATCTATCTATCATATCCATTTAACGAGATTAAAAATGTAAATGTTATCATCAATCATTGAATGTGTTTGTTTCTACTTAAATGTAATGTAATCATCATCAGAGCAACATGACACCTACTTATCGACATAACATAATTAAATGGATGGTGATCTACTGAGCATGCGCAACTCCTCTATTTTGCGAGGTAGACCAGCTACAAGGGCATTACTGCTGTAGCCTGGCGTCAGATGGTACAGATGCAAACAATTTGATCAGAGGGTGACAGCGATCGAGCCACGCTGGAAATTTATACTGGAGTTATGTGTCAATGGTCATAGGAGCGAGGAGAGAGAATAAGTTCATGTCATTTATTTCAAAAATCGTAACGGTATAGGAAATACAGCCAGTTTGTTGGGTATGTGCTTCCTGATTGGAAATTGCAACTTACAGGTCAAAATGATTAACAGACTTTGACTGAGAACTGTTTTGTAACGCAGCGTAGTAATCAACTTCTGGTTATGATAATTCGAGGAAAATACTTGACGATATGATTTGACTCATGAGAAAGTGCTACTATCAGACCTACTAGATTAAATGATGTCTTTATAGTTATCAAAATCTGAAATGCAGGAATAATTATGTTTCGTTCGCTTCTTGAGTTTTAGATGTTTATCCAAAGACTAAACCGCAGCTCTTTCAAGAAGTTTAATTGTCAGTGAAAGGTTGATCAAGATGGAAAATGTACAAAATGACGATAATAATGCCCATGTTGTGACTTTTGACGACGACATACATCGGAGAAGAAGAATTGCAAATGGCAACGGCACGCACATTGCCAGCGAAGAATCGGGCTACGCCTCGCCGGAACCTAGCCACTACCACCAGAACGGTGACGTTATCACCGGAACCTCGAAGCAGCAGATTGGCAGACGATTCTCCAGATGGCGCCGAAAAAAGAAAGTATGCTCCATGAAAATCCAGCGTGCGATACGCGCTTCTATCGTACGCGCTGCGTTTCTCTTTCATGGACTGGCCGCCATCTTTTGCGTGGTGTATACGTCACAGAACTCATATTACTGGTTCCTTGGAGTGGGTTTCGTCTTTCTGGCCATGGAGATGGTGCTGACTTATTCTTTCAATGAAGACGGAGAATGGAAGTGGTGAGTAGTATGGCTCAAGGCATGTACATGTAAAAGGCCAGCAAAAGATGATAAAACAGAGAAATGATAACGTAACAATTTACATGGATTTAAAAACATAGTGATAAATTGGAATACAATTATAAAATTACGTTAAATATTATGATTTGTTAGTTGATTTCCTTCTCGATGATGAAAGAATATAACAACTAAGATGGAAAAGAAAGAAGGAAAAAACATACAAATATTGCCCCCTACGTAGCCCCAAATATATTATTAATAGCATACTGTTATTCTAAGTATACTCAAAACATATTTAAGGTATGGCACATCAATGAAAAGGGGTCATAATAGAGGCACGAAGAGAGGTGAAATTAAGTTCCCAAAGACATGAACACTGTCAGCAAAAATACATGTATGTCGCTAAAAAGGGGGAAGATGAAAAATATCGCATTCACAAAGGGGGCTGGCAATGAGGTAAAAGGAAATTGACCCAAAACTATAATGATGAGATGCAATGAGAGATAACAGGTACTAAAAAAAAAATTGAAAACTGAAAGTGTTTTTGTTTTTCCGTTGTATACGTTTATTTTCTCTGAATAATGATGTTGGTGTACATTGGTGGTTTACAAGATACGCAAGTTATTCTGGAAATAAATTAAAATTAAACGTTGTTATCATTTAAGATTGAGCAAAATATTACAATTGATATTAATATTTTTAAAGGTACTATGTTCCTTTTGCAGCCAACCTCAAATTCTGTAGAACTTCGCAGGAATTATGAATATGTCATCCTATCTGTGAAATTTAAACGTTAGCAGTGTCCTCATATTCAAATTATGCAAGGAAACCCGTTTACTTGCTAGACTTAACTGTCAGACACTATTGAGTGACACTATTGAGTGACACTATTGACTGACTGGCTTTTTTTTCCTTCTTTGGTAATAACATACATGGAAAGAGTTGTAAAGGATACATGAGCATTTTTCTACATCAATAACCCACTTCTTGTGATGGCCAAGATTAAACTGATTGAATCTTTGCGCAGCATAAAACGTATGACCATTCGGTACAATTGTCTGAAAATCAAGACTATTACTTTTGGGCTCTATAGCCCTAAAGTCTATTTGACAACTAATAGTCGTTATTTTTCCACTTGAAGACATTTTCAAGTCCCACCTTTTTTAGGGAAGTTCTAAATTAGTATTATCTTTCAAATGCAGTTGGAATTCAACTTTTTCATTTTTTTGGCCTGCAAATGGGACATAGTACATTTAAAGTGTATTATTGATCCATATTAATGACGCAGTTAGAAGGATCATTAATGTTACATTGCAAATCAACTGCCTGTTGTTTTACCGTTCTCGTATTAAGAGCAGTTTGTATCGTCGACTGTCTCATGTTCTGCCATTTTACTCTTTCAATCAATCTGATCAACTGAAAGAGTAAACATGTGAAAGACGGGAAGATGATGGGATAATTGATTTTACAAATTAAATGAAAATAAAGACATTATAATAAGTAAAGATATGATACTAAATATGTAGACAATTTCTTGGACGATTGATAGGAATGGCAATGAGATAAATTAAAATTACAAGAAGTTTCTGGTTCATGCAATTCAATGTGTCAAAGAAATGTCTACAAACATATGCTGATATTAAAAGGCTATTTCTTTTGCCAAATTGAACTTAGTGATTCTAATAATGACTCAACTCTTTTGTCTAATGCACTGTTGTTTTGCAGTGGTTAAAATGACTATTTGACTGTGTGTTCATTTAATCAGACCTAAATTGTAGCTGCTTAATAATACCACTATGTCCTCTGGATTACAGACAGTAACCTTTCCATAAGCCTTGCACAATTCAGATCGATGAACAATAAGGCAGAGACTATATGACAGATAACTATATTCTTTACCATCACTCCAGCAAAGGTGTGATATCTTTTGTCCTAGAGCAGAGCCTGTGTTTTTGCATGACGACACGGATCAATATTATTATGATAGCGCCGCGACGCAATATTAGATTGAAGTTGGACTTTTATCTATATCTCTCGTGAACTGGATTTGGAGAAACCAATTTGATTATTGGTGTTTAAATGACATTTACAATTTGTTTATCAAAGTGAATGGCTTTTGGGCGTGTACATGTGTAGCTGAAGATAACAATTAAGCTATGATTGTTACACTTATGCATTCATATTTCGCGGTAACGCCTTGTTTTTTTTTAATAATCTGAGAAAGAAGATTACTTTTTTTCCGGATGGCGTCAGTTGTTTATGCAGAGTAAATTAAAGGCTTAGCTTAAGAGTGACAATAAGGATGGGCGTATCATATTTCTTAGAAGAGCCTGTATAGGCTGTGGCCAAAATAATGAAACACACATACCAATAAAATATTTGCACTTTATCTATAATATCTTTAACAAAATCAACTTTGTATTAACTTAAGGCTTAATAAAACTCTTTTTATATTTTTTTTAAATTTATACAAAGAATATTTATTCAAACATTTTTTCTTCAAAATTACTTGAGACTTATCGTTCATGAATACATGTACATGTATAAAGGCGTTTTCACATAAAACACGGTAAAATCGCGGCAGTAAACAGGTGTCCTTGCAAAATTTAAATACAAGGACACTGCTAACGTTTAAATTTCACAGATAGGACATACATGACATATTCATAATTCCTGCAAAGTTCTACAGAATTTGAAGGTGGCTGCAACACAACAATACCAACTTGCATTATTTCGCATAGTGCGTTAAGGAATGTTCTAAATGAATCGTCTAGATTAAAGAAGTAAACAAAAAATACCAAAAACTTTGAAACGATGATTAAAAGCTTTTGTTTAATATAGGTCTTAAATAAATTATTACAGAATAAACTACATTACTAAATGCTAGTTCTTGTTTGGGTGAAAAATTATAACTGATATGTAGTTTTGTAGAGATGTCGCAGTCGAGTGGTTTAAACACTTGACTGGAAATGCGAAGGTCGTGGATTCGACCCCGGCATGGCACTATAGTCTAGTGTCCCATATCCACATTTTTCCATTCTCCAACCAGGTGTTACATACCCGGTAAGAACGGTGCGAACGTTTCATTTCATCTTTATTGATCTATGGTAATAACAGACATTCTGTGTCCATTGGCTTTGTTACAAGGTACAATCATTTTACAATTACAATGCACATAGAACATAAAATGAATCACACTAACGTTTTACAATTTGTATATATTTGCCTACTTGCATATCATATATATATAGGCAATGCATCGTATGAATGCTTTACCATTATTCCTTAATGTTTTTAATATGCATTTTGGTTTCAGAATATTGAAATAATAATAGTATTTGCCTGGTAAAATATCATGACATGTATCCTTCAAGTAATTAGATGTATATCTCCAAAGTTATGAACTGTAAGATAAGGGATATCAGATGATGAAGTGAGTAAAGAAGAATGAATACAGTTGTGTATAATGATGCATTTTGAAGAAAACAAGTAGTCACCGACCCCTCCCATTATAAACTGTCGCAGACAAAAAAGATGCGGACAACAACAACAAAAATTCCGTAAAAATAAAAAATAAGTACTTGCGGTAATAGAATTTGTCAAAATCTAAGCTTCATTCCGTGAAATATACAGCGATTTACGACTAACTGTGGCATTAAACATATTAAACATGTATCGAATTGGTGATAAAACACTGTCTGAAACGTGCACGATATGTGGGGGGGGGGGATAAACGTATTCGAGAACGATTGAAGGTAAAACCAGGGAGGTGTTTTAACTCACATACCCTGGTAAAACAAAGTTTTGGGAAATTTTGAAAATTGGGTGGGTAGTGATTCTTTACAATTTTGATATATTTGGATGCCCCTGTAGATGTATTATAAGCTCTAAAAAAAAAAAGAGCCCCTAAAACACTTCTGCTTTCGAGAAAAATTGAATATAACAATTTACCGGTGCTCCCGTAATTTCAAATAGCGCCTACGGCCGTACAATGGTAGATGCGACCATGAAAATCTCAGAATATGTAGTTGTGATATATAATATCTTAACGGGAATAGCTAATCTGTCGATTTTAGTCAAGAAACATTGTTTCATAGCTAAATTAATATCTTGACCTTGAGAGGGAGCTATACAACATAAAGAGTTTATTATTTACAATTTCATAACTTTAGACTCGATTTCAACCGCGACAATGTTAGATCACTGAATATTGTAGGAACGCATATGCTTCCAATATGTTCATTTGAACCAAATTCATGACCCCATACAAAAACTTTGTAATACCTTTAAAAAATCATTGAGTGGGTCGGTACTTTCTGCCATTTATGTTCTGAACTTCCGCTAGTAGACGTTTGTTGTACAATGCTTGAATATGGTTGGATTGGCACATACAGCCTCGTAAAATGGCGCCTGACCGAAATACTCCGCAGGGAGCAGAGCGTTTTCACTTTCATGTGCGGATTTGGAATTTAATCCAATGACCGGGGTGCATCGCGACCGGAGAAATTAAAAAAGTAACGCTCTCAGAAACGTAATATAAAGCGCTGTACAAATGTTACTGTTATTGTTGTTGTTACTATCATAATCATAGTTAAAATTATTATGTTAGTTGTTATTTTCATTAATGTTTTTATTATTATTTTCATTATTGTTAGTATTATTATAATTATTATTATAATAGTAATAATCATTATTTTAAGCAAGATTGTGAAGGGGTCCCTCTCCAAAGTATTCTGGTTAATAAGTAATCAGTTAACGTCTTACTTATACCTAAATCAGTAATTTCCATGGAAATATTAATGTTATCGTTACAAAAACCTACTGTTAATATAGCCTGTCAACAAAAGTCATTATAATTTGCTGCTAAGAACAAAGATTACATCAGCAGAATTATGATAAGTGTATGCATTTATTTGAAACGGCATTAACGTGCTTCGAATAGCAACCAGTTTGAAGTTTTGCAAATATTTGCCATTCTCTGTCGCCATCGATTGCAACTCCATCCACACAATATCTGAACTACTGATCCAACAATCACTGATATCAACCCATTTAGGAGATGAATGAGGATGCTGAAATCATAGACGGATTCAGGGGGCACCCAAACTGTCAAATCCCCCCTTCTTTGTTTTGGCTAAAAAAATAAAATAATGAAAAGGTCTCTCTCAGGGTACAAACTCCTGCCGCCATCCCACCAACTTTGGAGCTTTGGGAGGACCCCGCAGGATTCGCGGGATGTATCGTCAATGAACGAAAATGAAATATTACATTCTATGTCAAAATAATTGATGCTGATGAGGTTTCTCTGGGTGAATGAAATTATTACTATTATTGTTACTATTATTCTTATAACTTTTATTATTATTCTTATTACAAAAAATGCATAATTTTTCTTCATATTTTGTCTGATACAAGCCCCAGTAGAGCTTGCAAGTGAATTCAACCACAAGAATGATATACTAAAATCTTAGCTGTGGTAGGTAACGTATTGGGCAAAATAGCCTGACTTGTCTTATCATTGACAAAAGTGTTCTAAATTAATTGTATTCAATCTGTCTGCAGGTTCGTTCCCTCTTCGCTCATCTACATGGCCGTGGTCGTACCAGTGGTTTGGTTCATGGAGTTAGGCTCTCTGGAACTCCGACTCGAAATCCAAGCCCGTCTCGGCCCAGGCATCGGGTGTCCGACCACCATCTCGTCCATACAGATCAGGGGTTTCCTATGCCTAACCAACGATACTTCACCATTTGTCGACGTCGTCTCACCCCTCGATGAGGTATGGGATTACATTATTTGTTAGATAGTTACATAATGAGCAGTTGTCAACTCAAAGGCATCCAAAAACTAATATCGAGCCCCCCAAAAAAAAAAAAAAAAAAAATCAAAAAAAAAAAAAAAAAAATCAAAAAAATCAAAAAAATCAACAACAAAAAAAAAAATCCAAAAAAAAATCCACTCTCTTCTGTGGAATACCATCTGGATAATTTCTAACCAAGGACTATTCCCTTATCCTTAGTGTCTAGTTAAAGTGGCAATCCGGGCTTAGGATTTTTTTAATAAGGCATACACATTCAATCCCCTCATGAAAAGTCATATGTGTAGTAGGTCCCCTTAACCTTAGGTACAATAATGTACTTTCATCCGAACACGGTCGGTCTTCTTTCGGATCTGATCAAATTCTGAACACTATGCCAAGAAGCTTATCCACACATGAGTACTATTCATCTAGGAAGACTACTTACCTTGGATCCCTATGGAAATCTGCATTTGCTGTTCGGGTGCTCCACCCCATGGGATGCAAGATGAATGAATGATACCTCAAACCGTATAGATTCCATGAGGCATACTGTGTGAATCTTGAATAGACTCAAACGATATATATATATATATATATATATATATATATATAGTTATAGCTGTGAGAGAAGACATTGATATCATTTTGAACGCAGCCGGTAAATGTCAAGTGCATCACAATCATAGTTCTATGTTTATGTTTACAGTTTTCGGTCTCTTTTATTTTTTGACAGAAAGTGTACGATTTGCAGCAGCTTTTTTCCACCACTTTGCAACAAACTCTCATGTTGATTCTGATCGTTGGGCGCTGGATGATGCCCCGTGGACAACTTACACGTGATCAGCTATCACAGCTTTTATTGGTTTATATCGGTATGGCCGCCGACATGTTGGAGTTTTCCTTGGAGACGTTGAAACTCGATGCCATCGCTTGCCATCGGGACATATTCTTCGTCATCCTCGGGATCTGGTCGTGGAGTCTTTTGCAGTTTACGCTTGGCCTCACCGCCACCAAGGCCAGAAAGCGACGCGTCTTCGGAAAAGTGGCCAAACCTGACGATGAGGAAAAGAGGGTGTTAAAGATGAACAAAAAGTTGCAGCAGACAGCGATGAACATCTTCTGCTGCGGGACGGAGACATGGGCGTTGATGACCAGCGTTATACTCCAGGACGGACCCTATCTCTTCATCAGACTTTATCTCATTATCCGATTCCGCATTTTCGACCAGTCCATGATCTTCTTCACGTGCAAGAACGCACTCCTGCTGTTGCTTCAGTTCTACCGTCTCTTTGTTATCATCTCGGAGACGAAGAAAGCCCATTCGATGTCGGTGAGGAGGCGGCAATCTATGCCGATGGAGGCGCGACCTAATGATCTTTACGGCCGTCGACCAAGGAATGGAAGCGTTTTCTCCATCCAGCCAATACCGACAGCAAACGGCAACATTGCCAATGGTGAAGGTGGTATCCGGTAACTCTTGAGCAAAAGACACCAAACACACGAGAAGAGCTATAGATTAAGATGTACATATATTTGCAACGCATCTCATGATGCCGAGATGAAATTCGATTTGCGCTCAACTTTAAAATTTGCTGGAATCAAAGCGTAATAATTGCGGTCAATGGGAACGATGCCGCATCGGGGGTTTTGAAAACGAGAACAAACATTATGAATGGCAAAAATAGACAAGAATACAGATAAAAAATAGCAAATAGGCTAGATAAAGAAAAACAGAAATTCGTGATATGATAGTGAGAGGGTGAAGGTTGTTTGTGCAATGTATTGATGTACAAAAATTCGCTGCACTCACAAGTCATTTGTGATCCTGTTCGATAATAACAGTGTTTTACCAGCTTCGAAACGACACATTATACGGTATGCATGCAAAGTTTTCGGGGGAGAAAAAAGTGAATATTTGATCACCGACATGGTTGTGATTGAATGTTATTTGGAGGGGGGGGGCTGACAGTAAACATTAAAGTTAACACGGTGGAGGATAGGAGGAACATTGCAATTAAAACAGAGAATAATCGGACTATCATAGCATATATCAATACAAAATAGCGGTATGTTAGGCCTGTTTTTTGTTACTTATGTTACTAATGCTTTTTTGGCCCATGCATCACATTGTTTTAAACGAAATTATTTATTCTCATGATTATTTGAGAACTTCACTACATATTATAGGGGCTGCTTAATGTCATAATCAAAAGTGGATCCAGTTTGCAATTCTGTTTTATCTTACCTTCTCGTAGCATGTTTGCACGATTTTTAAGCGATATTAGCCTGATTAGTGGGTTTAGGGGAGGGAGGGATGGCAAAAGCATTTGCTCTATTAATTGCTCGTACAGGATCAGAGCATGTATATCATGATGTCAATAGTGGTAATGAATCGTTCATAAATCCATTTTATTCAGCCGAGTGCATCGTGACTGTCACCAATTTAACCCATGCAAATGCGATCAAACAATCAGCAAATTGCAATGTTTGTTAGAACGTGGCAGCGCATATAATTACACTTTCATATGATTAAAAACAGCAGAAGAATATAGCCTCTAGTCATTTAGTAACATTGTGAAAGCGCTACTGTCTGGAAATTGGCTACAGCAACGGCGTTTTTAGCATCATTTATATCCAAGAGCTAAATTCCAAAAGGCGCTAAATCCATTTTGACCATCGTTGATTCATTGAGATGAATATGCACATCTCGAACATAAAAATCGACTGCACTATGTTGCGTTTGACAAATATTTGTTTGCATTTTTCGTTGCATTACAAAAGGCGCCCAATTTAAAATTGTTTAATTTTATAAGGAATTATATCCATTATGTCGATTAGGGATTCGTTCGTTTAAACCACGTTCCCTTTAGCCATGTTTAACCATATGGTGTAGTCAACCCTTTAAAAATCTTAATTAATTCCACATATTTACATATTTAAATATCTATTTTTGGATTAATCTCTCCAAATATAAAACACCCGAAAGCGTTCTTTTTCGAGGAATTTTTTTTTCTTCATTTTTATTCAACAATACACATTGGTCAAAAATTGTTCTCCTAAAGCAGCATTCCTGGCAGTATTAATGTGAATTTGAATCGTTGAAATCGCATTGAGGACAAAAAAGACACGGTCGACAGGAGTTTGAATCCAAAAGGCGCGAAATCCACTAAAATGAAAATTATAACAATTTATTAAAAATTAAATTAATTGCTGGATTTGGTTTTAAACAAGATACTAAAAAGTGATGTGAGGCAATACTCCTACCTCATCTGCCAAAAACTTGAAAGAAAAGATAAATGCCCATGGAAATAATATAGAAAATGCTGGATCTGCCCCAGGCTAAAATGTAGTTTTAAAAAAAAAGCAACATACAATTTGCACTTAGCACATGACAGAAAATGCATCACGATGAGCCTATGTACTCTTCGCAGTACATTGTAAATTTATATTGGTTTATGAATGCTCCAAACCTCCCAATATCTCAATTACGAAAATAGGATCATTTCACTCTCCGTTAATTTGCTTTGAGTAATGTCTACCCCAGGCTAAAATGTAGTTTTTTTAAAAAAAGCAACATACAATTTGCTCTTAGCACATGACAGAAAATGCATCACGATTAGCCTATGTACTCTTTCCAGTACATTGTAAATTTATTTTGGTTTATGAATGCGCCAAACCTCCCATTATCTCAATTACGAAAATAGGATCATTTCACTCTCCGTTAATTTGATTTGAATAATGTCTACCCCAGGCTAAAATGTAGTTTTTAAAAAAAGCAACATACAATTTGCACTTAGCACATGACAGAAAATGCATCATGATGAGCCTATGTACTCTTCCCAGAACATTGTAAATCTATTTTGGTTTATGAATGCGCCAAACCTCCCATTATCTCAATTACGAAAATAGGATCATTTCACTCTCCGTTAATTTGCTTTGAGTAATGTCTACCTGTTTAATTCCGCGAAGGTTGGTCATGCGAGTATTAATTCAACCGTGACCCTATTTGAAATACAAAGTGGAGTTACCTCGGGTGGTATATTGTGCGTTAGGTTCTCTTTTTTTTAAATGATTATTTTGTGTGGCGCTTTTACATAGTAGCAAAGAGATCCTATATTAGAACTAATAATTTTATTCTGATCTCTATGCATGGTGGTTGAAACGTAAATTAATATTATGGGAAGCTTTTGGAGGGTCTCGATCCTATCATCGTTGTAAGTTCCCTTTCCCCTCTCACTGTATCCCCCACTCCCCCTCTCTCTCTCTCTCTTCCCTCTCTCTCTCTCTCCCTCTCTCTCTCTCTGTCTCTGTCTCTCTCTCTCCCTCTCTCTCTTCTCCTTTAATATTCCCATCATCGCTTTTAGAAGGGAGGAACCAATCACTGCTTCTAGTGCTGTAGATCATCGTGGAGAATGTGGTATCCTATTTTCATTCACATTTTTATTGTTTAAAAACATCGTCTTTTACATTAATGTTTGCTAATCTGATAGCTATCCAATCACACGTTTAGCAGGTTGAAAACTGTTAAAAATGATGTAAAACTTTCCAAAATACATGTATACTATCAACATTTTTGTTGGGGGGGGGGCTGCTTCGGTCTCTCAATTTCTAAAGAGAAAGCAAGAAAGAACGAACAAACTAGAAAATAATCATATCAACATCAATAAAATAGCGTGGCTCTGATTTTGTTCTTCTATTTTCCACATGCTAGGCTATTTAACTTTTTTATCGTGTGAGGATTTACAAAAATAACCGTTTTCCCTTACATGCAAAGGGAGAAATCTGTAATAAACTGAGAAGTTTTCATTTTGAAGTTAGCTGCCTTTGACATCGTCATTCATTTTTGTTTAAAGTCGTAATGTAATATGCATGTAGAACATCGCTACCATCACCGTGATCACAAACTGCTGTAATGACCACGGTCTGTAGAAAAAATGGCATATTCTTTTAAAAATGATGTATACATGTGATTATTAGTGATTATTTTATGGATTGGGAGTATATTTCTTCTCCCTTTTACTATCGTTCATGTCATCGTATTCATTATTATTTCCGTGATTACATCAATATATTGTCTATTTTCCTATCACTGTATATTTAAAATGAATTCTTAGTATCTTAAGTGATTTGTGGCAATTAACAAGCACTTGTGAATCAAGATTAATTATGGTTAGAGATTCTCCATGATTGTCTGAACTGTTGTTTTTAGACTTTCAATTGAGTAAATAAAGATGATAATGCAATTTTTGGACATTATAATTTGCTGGAGTAAGGTTTCATTATTGATGTCAGAGAGAGAGGGAGATGGACAGAAAGAAAGACAGATGTTGAAAAAGAGGTAGAGACGGAGAGAGAAAAAAGAGGGAGAGAAATATATATATAAAGAGAGAGAGAGACAAAGAGAGATCAAGAGAGAGAGAGAGAGACAAAGAGAGATCAAGAGAGAGACAAAGAGAGATCAAGAGAGAGAGAGAGAGAGACAGAGAGAGAGACAAAGAGAGATCAAGAGAGAGAGACAGAGAGAGAGACAAAGAGAGATCAAGAGAGAGAGACAGAGAGAGAGAGAAAGCGGAAGCGGTGCCGGGGGGGGGGGGGTGTAGGTGCCTAGGTGGGGGTAGGTGCCTAAGTGGAGGGAGGGAGGAAGTTATGAAAACTCATTCACATCATAAATGAATAGCAAGAAGCGTTAAATAAAATGTAGCTTTACGCTAAAGAGATTCAAAATCAAAGTGAAATATTGAAATTCAAATCTTGACTTAGAATTATTATCGAATTTAAAAAGAAGAAGAGATATAGACCCTACTAAATATTAAAAAAAAAAACGATTTTTTTTTTTTTTTTTTTTTTTTTTTTTTTTTTTTTTTAAATAATTTTTTTAATAATTTTAAAACCACAAAACTGTACGTATTTATGAAGTCATTACACACAACGAAGCGAATGACACTTGTACAAAAAGGCTCACACAATAGTCGTAACAGTGTGATGTGATATAAATTTTACGATAGCGCTTATATACAAGGTGTGCCCGTAAAAAAACTTCACTTGTCAATTACTCAGTGATATGACACCAAAATTATGATTAACAAATCACACATGATCCATTAGAGACTGATGGCACTATCAACAAACACATTTGTCGAAGGATGTGGATGTCTGCAAAACCTGGGTCATTGTGGTTTTAAAAAAAATATATGATTTGGAATTATTGATCTTGTTAGGGTATACATCATTTGAAAGCTCATATTTTTATCTTCCATCATGATACGATAATCAAGATGGGAGGAAAATGCATGACAAAGCAAGGACAATTTGTCTTTAGAAAGACACAGTGATATTTTACCAACTGCTTCCTCAAAGATATGTGCATGCACCTGATCAAAATTAATGGGAACCAGTCTGCCCGCTCAGCGAATTCGTGACATTTTTGTCCTGATTATGGTTACATATGGACGAAAAAAATATGAGCTTATCAATGATGTGCATTATTGATAATTTTGAAAAATTCACTCTGTCTTTTCAAGTCCATGATAAATCAAACGTTGCAGCCATCCACTTATTTTGGAAGATGGGTTTATGACACTGCTACTTCAGGCTGTCTGAAATCAGTCAAGCATGATTTATTTATTATGTTTGTGATTTCATAATTATGAAAGGAAGAAAGATTAAATTTTAATGGATGTGCACATTAACCCCCAAATAGCTTAAGATTATTGAATAATTACCCATAAACTTCAGCTTCCTCTTTTCGGGGACACCCTGTATCTGTATAGAGAGAAAGGTGTAAAGAGGAAATACTCCGAGGAACGAAAACGGCTGATTGAAAATGCTTCTATCCAAGGGCATAAATCCCTGAGGGGAAAGGGGTATACATCGCCTTAATGTCAAGGAAATTATTGTGTGTGTTTTTTTTTCAAATGAGAAAAAAATTCATTAATTTTACTCATATAGTAATGAAAATTTCTCTTTAAAAATTATATCAATGTCCGAAAATATGAAAATGACTCCGATTTTCCTCCCAAAAGTTGCCCCATCTTTTCCAATAAAATCGTGTATGTATTATTTCTGATTTAGAAAGTGAAACCTCGCCTCCCCAGATTGTAAGAATCCCCCCCCCCCCTCCCCACTCTTCGGAACGGATTCACGCTATTGCACCCCCATTCCATCCCTATACCAATATCACAATACGCTATTATCATACTCGATGTTTGAAGGTTATATTGATTTGTCCTCTTCTATGTAATTTTATGTTTCCGCACGAATCAATACATGGTATGGGGTGTCAGATACACGCTTCTTAATTGCGTTTGCTCATGATAAACAGAAATATTTTTTGAACTCGGGAAATTTTCCGATCTATTGTTTAAAATCTCTAACTCTTTCTTATTATTCGTCATTCAAGCTTGCCCCCCTCTCTTTCCCCTCTCCTTCCCTCCCTCCCTCACTCCCTCTCTCTCTCTTACTTGTATATTGCAATCAGTTATTATCTCTAGGACTCTACCCCCCCCCCCCTCTCTCTTCATCTCACTCTTCCTTTGATATTCTATTCATCTAACTTGATTCTGCTGGCTGATTAGTGTAAAATGAAAGGAGAGAATGATAAACCAATACTCCTTCCTAAAGTTAACATTTCCTATGACAATTGACAACATGAAAATATTTATCTGCTTTGTTAATACTGCACACACGCGTGACCACAGGTTTTCCAATAATATGCCGTTCTTGTATACATATCACATTATTATCGTCTCGATAATGCGCTTGGACTTCTAATATTATTACCCCGGCTTTAGCGCCGGCAACCATAGCGCTCAGTGCATGATTAAAAAATATAAATATAATGAATAAATCCTACCCTATGGCAACAAACCAACTTGTACCCACTAGTACCCACTTACTACACCTAGGTCGAGTGTGGCCAATGAAGATTAATGCTTGTCTAAAGCAGGGCTCCCACTTAGCCGAGTTGGAACCTCGAGTTGTGGCGAGCTGGCTCGATCTTATGGCAAGCCGTTTTATACCTAATTGATATCAAGAAATCAATTCTTGATATCAAGAAATAATTTTACGTTGTAAAGCAATGGTAATTCTGGATATCAAGAATTCGATTTCGTGATATCAAGAATTGAATTCGTGATATCAAGAATTGAATTCGTGATATCAAGAAATATGTTTTAATGATAAAACTGCTTGCCATAAGATCGCGCCAGCTCGCCACAACTCGAGGCTCCAACTCGGCTAAGTGGGAGCCCTGCTTAACAAAGCAACATGGGCAGTGGTCCAACTTGCATCACACATACATCGACAGGTCTACACAAATACTTACAAGGACGCCCTCTGAAGGCCTCTGGTGAATTTTTACACTTACTTGGTATACTTGGTATACTTGGTAGATTAGCCCTCTTTTCCTAAGGGAAGGGCTCTCAGTTGACTTTTAAAAGTCGCCACTGTAGGTGCAGACACTACTTTTTCTGGTAGGTTGTTCCAAGGTTGGACCACTCTGTTAGTGTAAAAGTGGCCAGTCAGTTGAGTTCTGGAACGTCTTTGGAACACTTTTCTAGAATGCCCTCTTAATTCCTTATTTGGGTGGGAGAAGAATCTTTGTGCTGGAGTTGTGTAATAGCCATTAAGGTATTTGTACAAATTGATAAGGTCTGTTCTTGCTCTTCTCTCCTTCAATGTCTCAATAGGAATTTCCTTGTTACCAAGACGTAGGCATTTGGTCTGCACCTTCTCTAACTTCTCAATATTCTTCTTTGTAAGTGGGCTCCAAGCAGATGATGCATATTCCAGCGCTGGACGAATTATGGATTGGTACAAAATGGTGATTTTCCTTTCATCCAGTGCAGTGAAACAGCGTCGGAACATTGCAATCTTACAGCGAGCCTTTTTAACTAGTTCATCAACATGTTCGTTAGGGGTGAGGGTATTGCTAATTATAACTCCCAAGTCCTTTTGGTTTGTCACTTCCTGCAGATGAACACCATTGATAGAATAATTGTAGTTAATAGCTGCTCGGATGCGCAGGACAACACATTTTTCAGCATTGAATTCAAGTAGCCATAGTTTAGACCATGCAGCGAGTGCATTTAAGTCTCTCTGTAGTATGTCACAATCATCTTTCGATGTTATTTGGCGGTAAATCTTGGTATCATCAGCAAACATCTTAGCAGTAGTGAGAACCATGTCGGGAATGTCATTTACGAAGATTAGAAAGAGGAGCGGCCCGAGAATAGACCCTTGTGGCACGCCGCTTGTCACCGACCTCCATCTTGAGGTGCCGTTCCTTAGCACTACTCTTTGTCTGCGTCCAGTTAGGAACCCCTCAATCCAATTGAGAATATGTCCACGGATACCATTGTGCTTGAGCTTGTATAACAGTCGGCGATGGGGGACGGTATCGAATGCCTTTCGAAAATCAAGGTATATGACATCCATTCCTTTAGCTTCATCGTATGCTTTCGTCCAGTCATAAAGACATTCTAAGAGTTGTGTCACACATGAACACTTCTTCTGGAAGCCGTGCTGGTGACATGAAATCATATCATTGTCTACTGCATGTTCCATCAGTTTGTCGTAGATAATTCTCTCAAGAAGCTTTACCACTTGACTGGTAAGGGAGACTGGTCTATAGTTGTTTGGAGACAACCTGGATCCCTTCTTGAAGAGTGGAGTGATATTTGCGTCCTTCCATTCTTGGGGTATCTGTCCGGTTTGGATAGATTGATCAAATAAAATACCAAGAGGTACATCCAAATCAGGAACATTCCTTAGCACGTTTACATGTATCCCATCAGGACCACAGGCCTTGTTGATGTGAAGCTTGGAAAGCTTTTCTCTAACTCTGGAAGGGGAAATCTCAATGTCATATACAATGTTGTCGTGTGATATCTCGGGAAGAGGTAGATTGAGATTGAGTTCAAGAGGTTCAGGTTTCAGTACACTTGCAAAAAACTCGTTCAGAATCTCTGCTTTGTTCTGGTCATCTGTTATCTTTGCTCCATCGTGTTCAAGAACCTCAATTGTAGCAGAAGATCTAGAGAAGTGCCTCGCATAGTTATAAAACTTCTTTGGTTCAGTTTTAATCTGGTTGATAAGAGACGATTCATAGTCTACTTTGGCTTGGCGTATTACTTCCTCAGTATGAAGTTTCTTTTGAAGATACTGCTCCTTATGGGCGTTAAGTCCAGTCTTCCTTGCTTGAACAGCTGCTCCCCTCCTTGATTTCTTTGCTCTTCTGACTGATCTGAAGTTAATCCAAGGAGGTTTGTGGCGTTGACCCGACTTCACAGTTTTAATCGGAATGTATTTGTCAATCCATTCACTATACTTGGATTTGAGTAACTCCCATCTTTCGTTCATACTCCTAGATGCAAATTCCTTCACCCAGTCAACAGATTTAACTTCGTTGGATAATGCCGAGTAGTCTCCCTTGGAGTACAAATAAATCTTGCGTTCTGTCAATGCAATACGAGGTACAGGTATCCTTAGTTCCAATAGCACACTACTGTGATCACTAGATCCCAATTTGTCTCCAACAGTAACAGAGTGAACGATATCTAGGTTTCCGGTAAAAGCTAGGTCGAGGATATTTTGACCTCTAGTTGGATCCTTCACTAACTGGAACAGCATGTTCTCCTCAATACATGAAAGGAATTTCCGAGAAAGGGCAGTATGCGCTTCTCCTTTATCCCAATCGATGTCTCTAAAGTTAAAGTCTCCGAGTAATATCACATTGTCTGTGTCGATTCTTGAAATTGAATTACAGACTTTCTCCAAGTACGGTTCACCACCACGCTCAGGCCTGTAAACTACTCCAATCAATAATTCTGTCTTTGGGTTTGGATGCGCTGTGCACCAAACCACTTCCGCATCAGTATCTCCTCTCGAATATGGTGTGGGATTTAAGTTCCTTCTCACAAGAAGTAGTGCCCCTCCTCTTCCAACCTCTGTGTAGGTACCTTCATTGTAAAAATCAAGGCTGCGGTCTTGGCGAAAACATACATAGTCCTCAGGTGTGAATTCATTACTGCTCACTGAATTATCTAACCATGTTTCTGTTATGGCGCAGATGTCAATGTCATTTTCATATAAGAAATCTTGAAGTTCAACATATTTGTTCTTGATGCTAAAAGCGTTCATGTGTACAACCTTGAGTGGATTGAATTCTTTTCCTTTACGAATTTGTGATGTGCTTGTGCTTGTGCAGTAAGTGCGGTTCGATCCATCCTGGGGAGTAGTACATGTACTTCCATGTTCTCCTTCGAAAATAAAAGTGTTGTCGGTGCTTGGGTGCGGTGCAGATTCCTTCTTCTTACTAACTAACTCCTTTCCCCTGAACTTCCTACTCTGTCTGGTGGAAGATCTCGAGGTGGTACCTGAGTCTTTAAGAAGAGCTTTTTTCCCCTTATTATCCAGTTTGGGTCACTTATCCTTTTCCTACGTAGCTCCTCACGCAACTTGAAGTCCTCTTCTCGCTGTAGAATAGTCATATCTGGACTTATGAAGACCTTGGAAGGGTTAAAGCTAACCCCTTCAGGATTAACTCTTCTTACTTTAGGACCACCTCTCAACAGAAGCTTCTTATCCTCTTCATTCTCAAGTACAACCTTAATTGGGCGTGGCTTTCCATCTAGCTTCTTTTTACCTAATCTATGAACAGACTTTGGAGTTACATTGATATCCATACTGTTGAAGAGCTGGTCACAAATTTCTTCATTTGACATGTCCACTGTATCATCTAGCTCTATATCCTTATCTTGGTGCCGTGCATCGTCTGCGATAGATTTCCTGCATTCAGGTAATCCCTTGATTAGGATATTTTTCTTTCTTTTTTCAATCTCTTCAGGTTCTTTATGCATCAACTCGATCCTATCAGATAGTTTGACTATGTCTGCATTTACACCTTCAACTACCTTCTGTGTAGCCATCACATCAGCAGATAATTTTTCCATTGATGTTTTGTCTGCTTTCTGGTCTAAATTGCTCTGCATGTCATCAAACTTTTTGTTAAGCGTAGCCAGATATGCTGCACATTTCTCCTCTATCTCCCAATCTGTTTTGATAGCAGACATGGCTTGTCTGTCACATGCTGTACAATACCAATGGACATCTACTCTGCTTGTAAGTACCTCGTACATTTCAGTATCCATATCTAAACATTTAATGCATGTGGGACCATCACATCTTTCACACTTCATAAGCTTGTCGTCATCACTGCAAAAATCTAAGTTACAAACTTTACAACGCCATACCTCAATTTCCATTGAACTGCCAGTCACCCCAGGCCCAGTGCCTCTATCACCTGTAGCCAATTCTTGCTGAGGTGCAATTTTTTCTCCTTGTTTATCCTTCTTTTTTGGCCTCCCTCTTTTCTTCCTTTCACTGGTGGTCTGGAAAAAGGTTTGCTCCGTAGAATTTGCAGAGTGTACCACGTTGCTGCCGGTTGAAGTAGGCTGGCTGCCATTTTGAATGACGTCACTGTCCATGCTGTTGTGTACTGTAGCAGTACCGTACAAGCTACACTACAGGCATTACCTCCAGCACACGTTTTAATGAAAGTAATTTCCCCAAATTCAAGTTACCAGACCAAAATAAAGATTCTCTCCACCCTCAAAGATCTATCAAAACACAAAATCTTACTACTAATCAAGAAGATTTTGGAAAAATCGGACCCAAAAAGTGAAAATTTTGTACAAATATCAGAGCCCTCTCGCGAGAACGTCCACACACCTCTGTTGACTTTCTTTAACCCCCCCAATTTGTAGGCTACATCTGATTAAGTGCATTTTTATGAAACTTAAACTGTTAAAATATTTTCTTTTGCAATCGAATAGCCCAAAATTGCTTCCTTCGCCAGAGATCGTACGGAATCAAAGAGCCCCACCCCAACAACAAATATAAACGGAAGATGATAACTTTTCTTGGTTCTGTATACGCTAAATAGGATCGTCAAATTAACTAGTATACGCCAATTTAAACAAAATTAATTTAAAAAAACGAGTGCTGAGTTGCGGGACTACCCGTTCTTCGCTCTCAAAAGCTCTTTAATATATGCTGCAGACACTTGTGGATAAAGTGTACAAGGCAAGCTGTGGTCTTGGTCCCAAGGTGAAAATAGCAAAGACAGAAGTGCAAGTTATTAGCAAAAGGCAGTGCAACCTCAACATTGACATAGCCAACGACAGACTAAAACAGGTGGAAGATTTTGTGTACCTCGGGGAAAAATAGACTCCAATATTTTGGTCACGTCCTAAGAATGAAACCCACAAGATACCCACAAAGTGCTGTTGAAGGAAACGGCACAGGAAATCAATCAACGTGGGCCTCGAGTATAAAAAGGTTGAGAAGCGCCAGTTTAAACTAATTCAACGCACTTTAAATGTTTAGAATGCTGTTAGGTAGACTTTCTCAAACTAAACGAATTTTAAGACACTTTTCTTAGACTTAAGAAAAATGTCTTTTATTTAATTAAATATGGGCACTGGTCTTACACATGGACTTTGGACTTATTCAAAGTTTGCTTGAGACTGGCCATGTTTGCGCATTTTCGCCCTTCCAGCAAAATATTAAAATGCAAATATTGATAGTCCATGTCGATGTGTACAGAAATCTGAAATATCCACTTTCATGTCAGGCAGATACGAACAATTTTTTCGTGGCAACAATTTGACGATAGTAATCTTAAAAGATGTCTTTTCCAAAATGTGTGTTCCTATCTACTAGAGTTTTGATAATATGGATGGTTTTCGTCATTGTTTGGAACTACATGCCAGCCATATTCGTTCACGAGCATCGAAAAGGTAGGATATTTTCCTGGATTACTACTTATCTTTTGGGGTAGGGTGGGGCCAGACGATTTGGTGAGATTGTTGCCGGTCCACAGATCGTCGCCATTGACACTCTGTTCAGTTCATACCGGAAAAAACGTGTACCATACAGTAATGGTCGCAGCATAAACGGATTGCCATTGGCGTCAATCAGTGCTTATTTTTACCATTTCGCTGTCGATAGTATATGCAGGGAAATCAAAACCTATCGGTATTCTAAATTAAAAATTGGCGTCCTTTCTTCCTTTTTAATGTACAAAAACCTATTAAAGAATGTTTTGCCCTATAGTAATATACATGAAAATTATTTTAAAAAAGATTTTTATAATGCCGTTTTATCGGGGAAAACATTCGTTTCCTTTACGATACACTAATAGACACCGAACTTAATAATATACCAAGTATTTTGTTGATGAGTGATTCTTAAAAGTCTTTGGAATCTGTATCTCATAAGTTTCTATTTAATATACTTGTTTTTTAAACATCTAAATTTTACATTTTCACCAATTGTGTTGTGTTTGTAACCCATGATAATAAAGTATTACATGAATCTGATTCATGTTCTGCATACTTCAGGCAAATGTCTTTTGAATCATCTTCCCCTCAGTTTACAGTGCGTATACAAAAAGTGTACCCAAATTTGGTGGCTCGTAATTAAAAAGTCATGACTTATTTTAACCAAGCAACAGGGTCTTTAAAAAGTGTTGTCAAGATCGCCCTATTCCAAGTTTGGGCTGGTGGAACGAATGTGGGTCAGGCCATATACATAATTATGCTACTTTGGTCTTAAATCCTTTAAAAAAAGTTATATTATGCCTCGTGCTTCAGTGCTTTATTGTTTAAAATGATGCAATGTATGTAGGCTTTCACAGAGCATTGTTTCAATCAAAAGGATAACCTTTTATTACTTTGAACAGCCTACTAACTTCTCATCTCATGATATCTAATTTCTATCAGGTCACTTGTCTTTTGTGCCATAAGTTCATATGCGTAAGAAGCATAGGGTGTTTATCTTGAATAGCGAATGAAAAATTATAGGTTACTTAAACCTAAGTGCTAGAAAGAACACATAATTGTATGTGATTATAACTTTCAAATAAATTGAAGGTAGACTTTCATGAAAAGAGATAACATTCCAAATAAAGTTTATCCATTTTGTTTCACTCAATTAGAAGGTTACCTTAAACAAGGGGTGCGAATTCATTCAAGCTTGTAGTAATCATAATGAAGAAAATATACATTTTGCTTGTCAAAGCTTTCCTTGAGTCTGAGTTGATATTAAACCCTTTTCTTTACTTCTATCTAACGTTCAATGTAAATGAGTGAGCAATTGCTGTTGGAAAGATATAACACACACAAAGTGGCCTTTGACCCACATTCATTGCATCAGCCAAAATTTGGTACAAGAGGATTTTAACAATATTTTTTGAAAAGCCTGCTGCTCAGGTTACATGAAAAGTTCAGTAATACTGAAGTGAGAGTTGATGGCTATGTTCTGATAAGAAGAGATAATGGTAAAAGAGGTGGCGGTGTATGTCAATTTATCCGCGATATATTTTTTTTTTTACTAAAAGATGTGATTTGAACAATGATTTACTAGAAGCACAATGGATAGATTTATTGCTAAAATCTGAACAACAATTACGATTGGTTGTGTGTATCGACCACCTAATTCAGACATGAATTATTTTAACAGCGTGCTTGATATCTTTGAAAAAGCTTGTATGGATAATATATGATATTGTTGTATTAGGGGATCTTAACTATGACTATAAAATCGATGAATACTTGTGCGATAATCCCATTAACCTACTGGAAAACTTGTTTTCTTTACGACAAATGATTTTAAAACCTACAAGAGTAACAAGTACCTCATCGAAATGCTTAGATCACAGAACTTAGTTCTATACCGGACAAGCACTTAATTAGTGATGTTAGCCCTAAGTGATCACTATTTGATTTATACATGTATCAATTTACAAAAAAAGTAAAAGTTAAACATAAAGTAGTTCGTTTTCGAGCCTACCAGAACTTTGATGAGAAAACCTTCATTCAAGACCTGAAAATTGTTTAAACCTTAATGATATACTTACCAGCAATTTATCTGTAACTGAAATGTGGACTAAATGGAAAATCTCTTTCGATAAAGTTTGCAATAGTCATGCTCTAATGAAATAATGTAGAGTCAAGGATCGTCACAATCCATGGATTCCTTCTGATGTTGTAAAACTTATGTATAAGAGAGATCATTTTAAAAAGAAATATGACAATCTCAAACTACCTCATATTTTGTCAGAGTATCGTCGGACGCGGAACAATGTTACTAAAGTTATTAAAAATAAAAAACGTAAGTATTTTAGTACTGTTACAGAGAAGTATAAAGGTGATAGTAAGAAATTATGGAAATAAATAAATAAGCTTATAGGACAGAAATCTACCAATGCAGATATTCCTAATAATTTGAATGGTGATGATTTTAATGAATATTTTGTAAGTATAGAAAAGCAAATTTCTGATTCATTTAAAAATGATGATTTTATATGGACTCATCCTGATAGCACATACACACTCGGATTCCAATCAGTTACAGTTAAAAAGGTTAAAAAGATCCTTTCCCAGCTGTCGAGTGACTCAAGTCTTGATATTTTAAATTGTGATACCAAACTTCTAAGAATAGCATCGCCTTATATAAGTACCTCTCTGAGTGTATTGTTTAATGACAGTCTGTTAAGCGGATTTATACCGGAAGACTGGAAGATTGCTCGAACCACTCCCATTTACAAGGGTAAAGGGGATTCGGGTGATATGACTAATTACAAGCCCATCTCGGTGGTATGTCACTTAGCAAAATTACTGGAAAAAGAAATTCAGAGTCAATTACTTTTATATCTTCTAAAACACAACTTTATAAATATTGATCAATATGCTTTCTTACCGAACCACTCGACAACAACATGTTTACATTATATATTAGATGATTGGTATGATTCTTTTAATGAACGTGAAATGGTTGGTACTTGTTTCCTCGATATATCGAAATGTTTTGACTTTATCGATAATAAGTTATTACTGCAAAAATTGAAAAGATATGGTGTTCAGAATAATGAGTTGATATGGTTTAAAACTACCTGTCTGGTAGAAAACAAACTGTTTATTGTCATGAGAAATTGTCTAATTTTAATAGTCTGTCTATTGGAATACCCCAGGGCAGTGCACTGGGTCCATTACTTTTTTTATTTTTATTAATGATATAAGTGAATGTCTAAGATCATGTTCATGCAATATATATGCTGA